CCCAACCACACCGCCCTTTAGGGCCACCCCAAAGGGCCGGCGGCCCCCTGGCGGCCTTCCCCCTTTTCTCCCTTAGAATTAGACACCTCAACGAATAGAATTCGATTGATCCGACCCTTAGTTGACATTTAGGCACTACAGCATCCGTGGATGCACTCGCCACTCCACTGTGTTCATCCCACCACGCCATCCGCGCGATAAGCCGCCTTATCCAACGGCGGCCCAAGTCGCGACGCGTCTCTGAAGCCATTCACAGCCAAATTTTGGACCGCATCGCAACTCGGCGGCAAAGATGGCGTCCAATTCAGATACTGAACTCTTGACGGAACATTTTGGGTATCCGCCCGTCGTAAGTGATTCTATTTCCCCGATTCGGCCGTCTTCTCAACTGTACTGTAACAAGTGGACGACGATGTGCAAAACACTTACACCTTTTCCTCCTCCCCTAGAGCCTCCTAGACGACATAATCAACAGCATCAACATCCTCGCCGAGCGCGCCCTCAACAGCGTCGAGCAGGGCCTCCTCCAAGCGCCCCCGGCCTCGCTCGGCTTCAAGCAGAGCAAGAAGCACGACGGCGGCGGCGACGACGACGACGACGACAGCCTCTCGGTAGCCGAGCGCCACCGGCACGAGGTCGAGAACGGCACGCACCAGCTCGAGACGCTGCTGTGCGCCTCGATCGACCGCAACTTTGACAAGTTCGAGCTCTACGTCCTGCGCAACATCCTCTGCGTGCGGCCCCAGGACCGCGACTGGATCCGCCTGGGACACTACGAGGGCCTCGACCTCGCGAGCCCGCAGCGCGCCGACGCGCCGACGGAGCAGTCCGTCGCCGCGCTGCGCCGCCGCCTGCAGGCGAGCCAGCAGCTCAACTGCATGCTGCACGCGGAGCGGGCGCGCAACGGCGCGCTCCTGGGCGAGCTGAGGGCGCTGGCGGGCGGCAGGCCGCAGAGGGCGGTGAAGCGCGAGGAGACGGCCTCGACCGCCGCCGCCGAGGGCGGTTCAGACGACGTGCACAAAGATGCGGCGCCCCTGGCGTTCCTGGGAGATAGGGGAGACCTGACCGAGGGCGACGCGGAGAAGCCGCTGGCGACGACGACGGCGTTCACGCTCTCGCAGCTGCAGGCGCTGAGGGCGCTGTCGACGAGCCTGAGGAATCTGCGGCCGGATCTCATGCCCAGCGAACAGGACCCGGCAGACGCAGACGGGAAGAAAGGGTGGCGCAGGGAGCGGCTGGAGTATGTCGAGGGGGCGACAAAGAGGCACCTGGAAAATGTCAGGGGACTGGAGCTGGGTAAGAACGGCGAGGTCCGGGATGGCGACTGGCAGGGCGAGGGCAGGCAGTTAGGCAAGGGCGAAGTCGAGGGCATGGAGAAGGTTGTGTCGATGCTCGGCGGCGAGAGGCAAAGTTCAGGAGAGCAAATGGATGAATCGTAAGGGGTTCACGTTCATCGGGGAGGGGGGATATGATGGGGGAATTGCTGATACCACAACCGACTGTCGCTGGCGTTGGAATGGGCTTTACATTGTGATTTTGGGATTATTCGGTCTATAAGGTTACCTGACATGGATGAGTATATACGGGGGTTTTAAGCGTCTTGCTTGTTATTGTACACGAGGCAATGGGCTCTTTCTATGGCCCGCTGCCTTCCGTCTTCCTCTCCAGGAGTTCATATTGTGATACAAGGTGCCAAAACCGATGTCTCCAGAATCTCGCATCTGATGCGGCCGTGTCGGACTGTGTCAACTCCCTCTGCGACTTGGCCTTTTGCGCCAGCTGAGCCGCCTCATCCCACTGCTCATTGTTAATCAAGGCTTGCAAAAGATCACTGAGCGTCGACGTCGTCACCGACATGGAGCTCTCGATCATGCCGAAAGCCTTGAGGGCATTCGTCGTGTCGCCGACTTGGGAGTAGCCCCTGACGACCCTCTCCCAGAAAACGCGGTCAATGCCAAACTTGGAATACAGACCACGGTTCTCAATGAGATCTCGGACGGCACTCAAGTCTGGGGGATCTCTCGAGAAGTAATACTCTGCGAGCATGGTGTAGATGTGGGAGGAGAGCTCGAGGCCTTTGCTCCAGATATGAGCCAGCACGGCCTTGACCGACTCCTTGGCGCTATCGCCTTCTTGGAGTAGCAGATAAATCATTCTGCCATATGTCTGCAGGTTGGCTTCGAGGCCAGCAGCTTCCATCTCGGCAAGAATGCGGGTGACCGTTTCAATCTGTTGTTCCGGCGCCTCCTCGCCTAGACTCGTCATTGCACCATCGAGAATGATGGTGAAAGTAGCAACATCTGCCTGGACACCATGGGCCTTCATCATGGCGAAGACCTTGTCGACTCCCTCGGTGGCGCCTTGTCGAACAAGAGGCCGTAGGATCGTGTTAAAGGTGATGATGTCGGGTTCGATCCCGTGACGACTGCCCCAGGCCAGGACTTTTTGAGCTGCATCGTTGGCCCCGTAGCGAAGGAGACCAGCGATGGCTGCGTTGACAGGCTCGATTGTGGGTTTGACTGCTGACGAGGAACCGCCGTTCTGGAGCGAGGCTTGGTAGACCTTCGCCATCTCTTCCAGCGCCTGAAGACCCCCTTCTGGATCGCCTGTCTCTATCAGGCCGGATATCCTAGCTGTCCAAATGGCAGTGTCCAGTTGAACGCCTGATTCAACCAGCCTAGCCCACACGTTGCGGATCCCGGCAGCGTTTGATGCCCTCTTGCAACCCTCGATAAGAGAGTTCCATGTTTTAATGCTGGGTACCAGTCCGACCTTACCTAAAGAGTTCCAGACTGCCACAGCTTTGCTTGGCTGCCGCATGGTGGTATAGACCATGATGAAGTAGTCGAACATTTCCGGAAGCTCTCGCAGGCTCTGTGCCCGCTCAGGGTCAGGTGTGTTCGATGGGCCCCAGAAATCTATCCACGCTTGATTGCAGGCCTTGAGGTCTCGTGATTTCAAAGCCTGGCCAAGCTGTTTATGCAACATGCTGGCATGTTTCCTCTGGGAGGGAGCATGGCTTTTCCTATGTTGATGCTTTGAGAGATGTTCATGGTTTTGATTGGCCTGGACAGTAAAGGAAGACCAGCGCTCTGAGATGTAGCCGCCCAGAACGGCGTGCGAACGGAACATAGTTAGCAGTTCCCTGCGATCCACGGGGACTGTCGCGAGAATTTGTGTGACCGCAGAGATGAGATCGCGGGCACTCTCCTGAATAGCAGGGTTGCTCTTGATAGGGTCCTTGAGCAGCACGACGGTGGAAATGACAGCCGGGGCCAGCGTTCCCAGTTGCGTCTCGACATATCGGGGGAACAACGAGTTGAGCGCACGACCGGTATGGTTTGGAGGCGACAGCTTGACGAGTTTCTGCCATCTCACAGGAGGCAGTCGAAACTCTCCCTCAGGAAGGTGAAGGAGCTCGCCGTGGGTGAGCAGGATCTGGGGGAGGCCAAACATCCTCCACGCGCCAACAAGGTCCTGGAGCAGCGCCGCACGCAGCGTCTGTGAGGCCTCGAAACTTTCTGTGGAAGAGAAGTCTTGCGGCGAAGTGCCCATCTGGCAGATATAATCGACCAGGCTTATGATAAGCGGCGTCCACTGCTCTGGCCGAAAGAAGTTCAGCTTCCTCCTGATAGTCGTCGTCTCGGTTATTGTGGGCAAGTCCATGCTAGCCATGTTGTCTCGCTTCGCTCTCTCAATGTCGTCGAAAAGACGGGTGACGTTTCGGCGGAAGATCTTGGGCAGTCGACTTTCTGTCTGCAACTGCGGGAAGATCTTTGTGTTGAAAAACTCGAAGCAAGCGGCTAGAGACGTATCCGGCTGCTCGCCCAGCTCCTTCAACTTGGCCAGGTCTTGATAAAGCTCAAAGCCGATTGGTGCTTGGTTGGAGTTTTCCTCGGAATCCGCAGACTCCTTCTGCCCGTTGACAACTTTCTCAAATATAGAGACAGGACTCCTCCGCCTCGATCTGGTTCTTAGGTCCTTCCGCTTGGTGAAATCTCGAAACAGAGGCTCGGGCTGTCGAATGAGCTCGCTATGGCTCGGTTGAGCCCCGACGGCACCGGCATGCTCCTCGACTTGGGCAGAGGGGGCATTTTCCTGCCCGCCATGGCGACTCAAAGTCTGTGCATCTGGCGAAGTCGTTGCGTAGCTAGCCCTCGGGGGCCATCTGGATCGTGCGCCCGCAACGGTAGCAAATAGCTTGGAGCGACATGTGAGGCAGATAGCTCGCGCTTCGCTCATGGCCAATGAATCACCTAGCTCTGTGCCAGGCGTGTAATATCGACGAACTTTCAGCGCCGAAATTGGCGAGTTTCCAAAAGGCCGGAGGCCATGCAATGTCGTCTCAAACGTCCCGCTGGTCGCCCGGAGCTGTGATGCAGATTCACGCAAAGTCGTTTTAGCAGTACAAAAATTAAGGGAGATGAAAATAGTCGTCTGGAGCCTGGGGCTTATCACCGATACCGAAAACTGGGGTCTTGGCTGGCTTCAAGCTCCGACTGGCGGTTCACTTGGGCTTGCTCCAGTATTGATCGCCAGTGTCAATTGCAAATGGAGGCGGAGAGCTCAATCCTACAAAAAAAAAAAACCAGAACACTGTATGAGGCAGGTCCTCTTGACTTCATATTGACACATCTTCTCGCGTCTCTGCTCATAGCGAGTTCGAGCAAGTGCGAGCAAGTTCAATGCTCGACGTTGTCTCAGACCAATCAAAGGCAAGATGACGACTCTGCAACCCCGAAAGCCATATACAGACGAGGAGCTCCGGCAGCTTTACCCGGCCGGCCTTGAGCTGCAGCTGGTACAGATTCTGCTGCGACACGGAGAGCGTACACCCGTGTCGGCTCGTTTCCAGAATGCTGGCCTGCATGCGTTCTGGCCGTACTGCTCTGCCGTCCGGCAGCTCAAGTCAGCTGTGCTGGAGCGCGAACATGGGGCTCACCACACACCCTTCAGCACCCTCGAGTGGAAGCGTCGCCTTGAGGCTTTTGGGCCGGACGACGCTCCCATAGTGGCTACCGGACCTGACGGCGAGCTGGACGCCGTGTGCGACATGGGCATGCTCACCGATACCGGACGCATCACCACCTTCCAGCTCGGTACGCGGTTGCGAAACCTCTACGTCGACCGGCTAAAGTTCATCCCGAGCACTATCAAATCCACGGACTTCATGTACCTGCGCGCTACGCCTATTCCCCGAGCTCTGGATTCCCTTCAGCAGACACTCGCCGGCCTGTACCCGGCACAGACACGGGTGGGCAGTGAGAATGGCACCTTCCCGGCGCCGACTATTCTCGCCCGGGCGCCGCAAGATGAGACCCTGTTTCCCAACGACCAGCATTGCCGTCGTTTTGCGGAGCTGTCTCGGGCATTCGCGCAGCGGACGGCCGACCGGTGGAATACCACTGACGACATGGAGTACCTGAATAAGATCTACGGAAAGTGGATGTCTCCCGAGAATCCCCGCGTCGCGGTTGACGGACGGCCCCGACTGTCCGGTATCATGGACACTATCAACTCGACTGCGGCTCATGGGCCCGAGACCAAACTTCCTAAGCAGTTCTACGATGAGAAAGCGCACCGTATCATGGAAAAGATTGGCGTCGAGGAGTGGTACAGTGGCTACAAGGAATCTCGAGAGTACCGTATGCTGGGTATTGGTGGCTTGATGGGAGATATTGTTGCGCGTATGGTTGGGAGTGTTGAGCAAAGCACCGCAGCTGGGGAGTACGAACTCATGAGGAAATCGGCAGAGAGGTACACGCCGATCAAGTTTGGCCTGAGCGGCTGCCACGATACTACCCTTGCGGGTGTGCTCTCCAGCCTTGGAGCGTTCGAGACCGAGAAGTGGCCTCCGTTCACAAGCCATATCGCGATCGAGCTTTTCCGACGTTCGAACAGCCCCGCTACCGTTGAGCAATCCGCAGACCCGGTTGTCCAGAGCGCCGTTGCCTCGGACAAGTCGAGCTGGTTCGGCTCATGGTTCTCGTCTCGCTCAGCCGCTGGCAAGCCACCCCCTGGTATAGGTCGCACACCGAGTGACAAGCTGTCCCCTGCGGACAAGAAGAAGCTGGATGGGTACTACGTTCGGATACGCTACAATGACGAGCCGGTGACTATTCCGGGCTGCAAAGCTGCTGGCAAGCACCTCGAGGGTGATGAGTCGTTTTGCACATTGGTATGCATTTCATGTCTTGTATGGACGAATTGAGACAATGCTAATATCCCTACAGGAGGAGTTCAAGGCGATCGTGGACAAGTATACGCCACAGGACTGGAAGCAGCAGTGCCGGATGAACATCAAGTCGGCAGCCTTCCCGGAGAAGCCAGAACCGGCAGGTTACTAAACCTATTTCTATCTATTAACTCATGCTATTGTAAGAATGTTCAAGGCCCCTGTGAAGGTAGGGCTGAGTTTAGTCCCAGGTGTTTCTCAAAAACGTAGCCCATACTCAGTCACGTCACATTATATATAATATGCATACAAGGCGAATGCCGGGGGATGGGGTGGCGAATATCGAAATCCATAAATAATTGAAGCCATCTGAGGCCTGCTTAATTCATCCCAGGCTGATTTCTGCTGGTGTGCGATCTGGGTGAACTTGGTCCTTTCCTGCGCTCGCCTTGGCGCGCTTCTTTCTTGCCCTGCGCACCTCGATCTCGAGGCTCTCCATCTCCGCACTCACTGTGGCAAGCCTAGGAACCAGGTCTTCTATGATCTTGATAGCCTCGCTTTGGGCCATGCGGAGTGGCATGGGTGTCAGAAGGCCGAACCACTGCAGCGGGTTCCGGGATTTCTCGTTCGGCCGCTGTGCCTCTCCAGCATCCACAGATTCGTCATCCTCAGACGGGTCTGCTGAGGTCTGCCCTTCCTCCTTCTTCTCACGAGCATCTCCGTCAGCATCAAGGGCACCGCCCGGGGCCAGTGTACGGATGCTGAGTCTTGATGATGCGGACCTCTGGCTGCCCGGCGTGACCTCGACTCTCCTCGACGCCTGCATGCGTTCGTCGTAGTGGTCCTGGCCGAAACGAAGGCCCCTCTCTGCGTTGAAATTGGCCCTCGCTATGTGGTGATACATGCTCGACTGCGCCGTCGACAGGGACTCACGCAGGGTGGTGTACTCGTGGAGCAGGCCGAGGTAGCGCTCGAGGAGCTGGTCGACGGGATCCAGTTCCATTCTCTTGGATGTGGGATTGAGTAGGGCAGGGTGAGGGGCGGCGATCCAAAAATAAGACGGGCTGAAACTTTGCAGACGGGCGGGCACAGCGAGTCAAATTCTTTCTAATCAAGGGTCTCGTCGGGTTGGGCAGAGGAGGGTTTCTCGGGGTTTCCCGCAGTGTCTTGTCTCAGCGCTGAGGGTTGGTGAAACGGAGCTCATCGAGGTGGTGGTGACTCTGAGTCTGAGTGGGTCCCGCCCGAAATGGATCCGGAGGCTGAGCATCTACGAACCACCTACTTTACTTGATGTGTTCAACGTTATACAGCCCTGTAGCTTGTGTGCATTGAAACCGACACTCCAAATCATTCTTTACAGGCATGTACTTTGAATCCGGGTAGATCAGATTGATCTCTCAATTGCACCCATCGAGGCTGTCCCTCTGGCGCGGGAGGCATCCCAGGGGTCTTGATCGCGGCGCACGTCCAGGATCTCCACGCGAGGCGAGATTACGTGGGAAACACCCCAAGGAAGATTGTCTCATTTGTTTCCCATCACAGCTTTGGGCCCTGGCAAGCTTGGTCCCAATCCGCGTTGGGATCGCACGCACACTTTTTGGGACTTCTTGGCACGACAAGGGTCAACAGCGATGTCCAGGAACTCCTGACTTGTGTTCCCCTGCAAAGGGTTGGCATGGCAGAGCTGTGTCTACTCCGTAACTACTTGTACGGATCGATGGCAATCCCATGCCGTCTTGCTCGCCAGGTTCATCAACGAGCGCCGGTTTCAACCGTTGGCGTCTTCTCTATACAGAGTACGTCCATGTGGAGGAAGGACAGCGACCACGTTAGTCACCCAAGCACCGCGTGTCGTATGGACTTCTTCAATAGCATGCGGTGTACAACGTGACGTCTCATCAGTCATCCCGGCTCCAGCAAGCTATCAGTGACATCCTGGAGGTCGATCACGCAAAATCCCCGATGAGAACATCGCTCGCGGGATGTCGCCCTGCCCAAGTCCACGTGAGCAGCCACGATGTACAAGTGCGAGGGGACACACCGCCGGCGCTGCAGTCCTGGACTAACGGGCGAAAGGCGCGGGTGGCCGCAGGCAAAAGAAGGCGTCGAAAGTTCCAACTGCATGCTGTGGACATGAAAGGATCATGCCGTGTACCGGTGAGAGCGAGGGGCGCACCGCCCCGTAAGCTGCAATCTGTGACGGGAATGGCAACTTGCGGCCCGCTGCAGGTCGAGGCCCGTCAGCCTGTAAGATGAAGTTTGAGGCGCGATCACATATGCGGCCTTGGGTGACTTGGAATAGGGGACTGTGGGTGACACCAGGTGGAAGACGACATAACGCCCGGCAAAGTGGCATCATCCCTGGCTTGGACCCGTCCCAGCTCCTTCGCCATTTTAAGATTTGTACGAGTAGTGGTCCTGGAGGTAACTAGGCACTGCTTGCGCCTGTCTCAAGTCGGCAGGCTTGTTGTTGGTGCTTGGACAAGGATAGGCAGGGAAGCGCAGACCCCGGTTCCAGCATGGGCATGGCGAGAGCCACCAATTCAATCAAACCTCGATCATCAAATGATAGGTAGGTACCTGGCATGGCACCTCCCGGCAGTGTATGAGTGGCTGCATGCTGGCGCTCTCCTCACTCTATCGTTGATAGAGTAGCTAGCCATTGTGTGACGGGAATCGAATCTCCTAGGGGGGTTTCGAGGTCAGCTTCAGCATTGATAGGCAGAGACAGACGCTTGGTACGGCAAGTCTGTACTCCGTACTGCAACGGTGCCAGGGTCGACACCGATAGTGCCTCGATATTCGACCATTAATCAACCACGAGCTTTGACAGCGGCAAAGGCGTTCCTCGAATGGAGACTGCCCACCCCGGCCGTATCTGAGCTCAGAGCATGCAGGTATGGAGTACGGAGGAAGCACTCTGTAACTTACGAGAAGAAGCCAGACCGAGAGCCCCATGGTTTGTCCTCCAGTCTTGAGCAGCTCGAGGGTCTCATCCTTCAGTGTATCGAGGGTTCTTAGCGGCAAGACTAGACTGCAGTGGGAATTGTGCCAATTCATGCGACAAGTCACCAGCCAACAAGTAACCATGTCCGTCCTAGCTTTGGGGGGGTCTGGAGAAGAAAAATCACCAAGGGCTAAGGTGCAATTGGGAACGAGCAGTGCCTCAATCTGTTCCCTGCTCTCACAGACCGCCAGAGATGGAGTCCCCGTTGTCGTCGATATTCGCCAAAAATCACCCCCGTCCCTTTCAGATGGGAAAAGGAGAGAGAGGAAGGGCACGGGCATTGTAGGGTGGCGAATCAAGATAATTACGGAGTACGTAGAACAAGATCGAATTTGAGCAGAAGCCTTGAAGGGTTCATGGAGTGCTTCTTCGACAGGAGCCCACCGATAAAGTCCTACAAGTACACCTCAGCAACATTTGCGCCAGCAGCGCCGCCGCACGAGCAGCCACCAACCAGCCCTGGCCAGCAGAACATTTGGAACCCACCACACCGTCCCAATGCCATTCCCATTCCCATAAGGCATCCGTATCCATCCATATCCCATCCATCTTTTGGAGCACCCGCGCCCACTTCCATCACATTGCAGGACCTCTGTGCCTCTCTCCCTTCTGCCAAAAGCCAATCTCACGAGGCTGAAGCACCACCGCACCACCACCGCCATCCCAGTCCAAGACGCGGTTCTCGCGCTCCTCCCGGCTGGATCTGTTTTCTTTTTCTGTGCCCCCTTCTTTTCCTGTTGATCGCAGCTTCTCTTGTCGCCCCCCTCTGCGTCCGATCCTCGGTCGTCCCCCCGGTTCTGTTGTCGTGCTCGGCCCTCTCTCTCTCTCTCCGCCCTTTTTTCGCTGGCCGGACGTGTCGTCACGCACCCCTCGCTGCATTTTTGTTAGCTGCCCTAGCTAGCCTGAGACAGATTTGACGCTCTGCGAACTCCACCGCCCGTCCACTCCTTGCTGGGCAAATCAAACCCGACCCCCCATTATCGGTTCAAGGCAGACCAGACGACGCGCGCGATAAGGGACTCCCTTCACCACGAGCTTTTCCCTTGCAGAACACCCCCATCCGCATCGTCGCTTCTACACGCCTTTACGCAGTGCTCTCCTCGGAGCGCCTTTCTCGCTTCGCACAATGGTTGTCGCAACGATCAAGTTAGTCTCTCTCCCTCCAGAGCCCCTGGCCTCTGTCCCCGCGCCATTTTCCCACCGCTGGGCTCGCCAATGCTGTTGCCTTGGTCAAGATGTCCTGCCGGCTTCTAGTCCGCCGTCCCGGCACCGGACCAAGAGGATGCCTCGGCCACTGTCCGTAGCGGATGTTGCCGTGGCCATCGCGCTCGCTCTTCTGCCGTCAAGTAGGATTTGCTTTGGCTGATGACCGTGCTGTGATAGATGCGTCGTCGTCGGTGACGGTGCTGTCGGCAAGACGTGCCTGCTGATTAGCTACACGACCAACAAGTTCCCTTCCGAATACGTACCGACCGTCTTTGATAACTATGCCGTTACTGTCATGTAAGTGCATCCTCCAAACACCGGTTTCTTGTCTAGCTGGCCCATCCGGATGCACGCGATGGAATTGATCTTGTTTGGCTGGCGATAAGGGATGCTTTACCGCTGCTTCTATTCTGTGGACCGTCCGTTTCTAGCCCGAATCAAGAGGTTAACAAACCGTTCGCAGGATCGGCGACGAGCCCTACACTCTTGGCCTATTCGATACTGCTGGTCAAGAAGATTACGATCGGTTACGGCCCCTGTCCTATCCCCAAACCGACGTCTTCTTGGTCTGCTTTAGCGTAACTTCGCCCGCATCATTCGAAAACGTGCGCGAGAAATGGTTCCCCGAAGTGCATCACCACTGTCCCGGCGTGCCCTGCCTTATCGTCGGCACCCAAGTAGATTTGAGGGATGACCCCAGTGTACGGGAAAAGCTGTCAAAGCAAAAGATGCAGCCTGTACGGAAGGAGGACGGTGACCGGATGGCGAAGGAGCTCGGCGCTGTCAAGTATGTCGAGTGCAGTGCCTTGACTCAGTATAAATTGAAGGACGTGTTTGACGAGGTAAGTGGTTGTTCTGGATCGATATACCGGACCGGTGCATGAGCTGACCCCGGATGCAAAAGGCCATCGTCGCTGCGCTGGAGCCTCCGGCGCCCAAGAAGAAGTCACACAAGTGCCTGTTGCTTTGATAGGCACCAATGGCGCCACCGGCGCGCTCAGGAGAATGATTACGGGCATCTTGGCTTCTCAGCCTGTCCAGTACCGGGGGGTTCACGACCGTGTCAGCCTACACATGTCTCATACACTAAAGTAGTATCGCCATGTTCTCGCGGGCGGATCATGGAACCTCCGGTCTCACATTCGCTGGCATACCACAGTCTAGGACCTGGATGCAGTGAATAACATCATTTCTTCTGCGCCTAAGACCTAGCATAACAATGTACGTCGAGAGCTGTTGCGGCCGATTCGGTCTCCCGCAGCCTCGGTCAGGACCCATTGATCGCGTATCGAAAAAGTTCTCGACGGGCATGGACGTTTCGAGGCGACATCATCCTTCATCATACAGAAAACCCCCCAGCAGCGTGATCTATATCCCCCTTTCTTAGTCGCTTCCTTTTTTTACACCGTTTTGGGGGTTTGCGGCAACTTCATAACTCCATGGCAGGATTCTTCGATAGGACAGTTTGGCGATTTGGAGTGCAATTTGATTCCCTTGTTTTTCGCTCATGAGCCTGGCTGACGGGATATCATACAACCGGCGTGCCGACTTCTTGTGACTTGTTCTTGCCATCCATTTGTCTGTGCCTCCCACCATCTGAAAGGATCATCACTCTGCTTTGAATCATCTCACAGTTCATGACGTACGCATAACTAGTTCACTGCCGAACTCGGCAGATTTGCAGCCAGATCAAAAACTGCTAAGCATCTGAAGCATAGGATCGAATGCAGACACTCCTTCACTGTGATGATACAATGCTGCAACCGCTTAGTCCTGGATTCTACTGGTACCCCAACCTGGTGAGTTCGTGATTTGTCTTTGTCAGATTTGAGAGGCCACTTGAAGTGAAGGTTAGTTCGGCATGGCCAATGCCTACCTCCTTTGGGCGTAGAGAGACTGGTAACCTATATCATATTCTCCCACTTGCCGCTTTCGTCTGAGCACTGGGTCACATCGTGACTGTCTCCTGAATGCCGCATGGCATTAGCGTTTGCCTGTCCTGTGGGGAGAGTGTCAAAGGAAGAATGAGCTTGAAGAATAAGCTTGCTTATTCACTCTATTCTTATCATGCCGTATGGGATGATGTTAGCCAGCCGATCTTGATGTCCCTGCAGAACTCGCTTCCAGGAGATGATGAATGGCGCCTGGCCTTCAATAGTTATCAATGCCACCATCGGGCTCATGCTGATTGCCAAGACCATGTGAGTTCTGATAGTCTGCTGACTCGGGCTATCACCCAGGCACGCTGTCAGCCGTCCGACGAGATGAGGCTGATCCCACCAGGCGGTCACGACTGTGTGCCGCTGCCGGTGCTGCGGGCGCTCGAGGATGCCCGGGCCAGACTAGTCATGGTTGTGTCCTTCGATGGCGACCCTGGAATCGCAAACGACACCGGGCTTGGTGATACGCAGCTACACTAGGTCGAGGCTGGCGCATCTCAACTCCAGAGCTCTCAGCATGGGCCGCTTGGCCGAGTTGTGCTTGAGATATACCCAATGACAGATATGCTTTGCAAGCTTCTTGGTCCGCTGCCAGCGAAGGACCGATCATTGACAAGGCCTCCTTGGCCCTTTCGATGCACACTGGGCTCTGTGAACATGGCGTAGTGGCCTCGGCCTGAAGGGAACTCGGAGGCAGTCAATGCGTCGAACTGGTCCTGCCAGTGGGTAGCTGTCGTCGATGGCATGAGCTACCTTGAGAGCCGTTGGCTCGACACTGACATACATGTTGACATTGCCAGCGACTTCTGTCTGCCTCTGGACGTGCGCGTCATTGTTCTGGAACCGGCCCTCGCTCCAGATACCTGCAGCACAGAGCCGGACACGGCCAGTGAATATGATCTGTATTCTCAAAGGCGTGGAAACCCTGCAAGGTTCTCGGCTCGGGTGTACCCGAGGTTAATGCTTGCATGTCAGGGGCGTCCGACAGGAGACATTTACGGAGGGCTTGGGTCGTGCACGAGATGTTGACCTCGATAGGCGAAAAAAAAGACATGATGAAGATAGTCAAGAAGAGGCGAGGCAGCCATGAAGGGTGTGTGCAGAGAGACGAGTTATACATTAGATAGTTTGCACTTGTCTCAGCTGATACAAAGCCAACCTCCTGCGGCTCCTTGGTTTGAATGTGGTGTGAGTGTGTGTGTGTGTGTGGATTGTCCATCGAAACAGGTGCAATTGCACTTACAATGGAGTGAGTAGTTTCCGGTAGACTTCGTGTTAATGTCACCCACCTCGGGTCAATATCTGGCACACAAGACGCAGGGGAGAGTATCGGCACGTGCGCACAGCACGTAATACGGATTGATAAATCTTCTCTGTCCTTTCTTGATGCATCTACTGTGCCTGGCGTACCCCAGGGCGGTCTTAAGATGAGAAAAGGCTGAATCGGCACGGAAACAAACCAGAAGTAGGTTTGTCCTTTGATCAAAGGAAAGGGATAAAGGGGCCTTCCCAATACTCCGTACATAAACCCAGTACAGATCTCATGAGAAAGAGAGTAAGTTATTGGTGGTGTCCATGTCAAGTGTGTCGCCCCCAGGCTCTGCTTCATCTCGGGTGCAGTCCTCAGGACCCGGAACTCATCATGCTGCATCAAAGGTATTCTAGAGACAGGACACTACGAAAGGAAATGTCCGGCTGCCAGTGCCGAATCAGTCGCTGCATACCCTTCTGTTTCTCTTCTACCCCGTCAAGGCCCGCACGCAGGGTTCCTGGCTTGATGACTTGGTTGGTAGGTGGTAGACAAGAAACCTAGCCCCATGATGAATGATACTACCAGTGCTTACTTGCGAATAGATGCTCTGACGCTTCTCCTCCGCAAGCACTGACCACAGGGCAGGGAGTGTCACACCATCAAGGCCGCGAGAAACTTCCCAATGGGTTTGGAAAATGCATCAAGCCGTACGAGTTGTCCAAGTCGTCCAAATAGTCCACCTTTTGCTGGTCTGATGCAGATGCAGGAGGGGCGGATTAATAAGGCGGGCAGGCTGCCAGTAATAAGGGAAACAAACATTGATTGAACATGCTGACAATCGGGACGGCTGTGCTCTCCGTCTTGGGAAGACAGAAAGTCCAGCTTCACCCTGATGTGAGCTCAAGCATCAAGTCCACCGATCCGTTCATGTCGTGCCAGACCACCAGCCGCGCTGTGTGCCGTTTCTGCTACTTGTAGTTGAAGACAGCCGGGCCAGTCTTTGTTTGGGACAATACTCCGTAGTCGCTACCTCGTTCAATGTACAGCAAAGCCAATCGGCATCTTAGTGTTGTGGCCTGAAAAGTGAGGCGCGGAGGGGCTTCCAATTGGGCTCCTTCCCTTTTTTGCGGGACGGACCCTTGGGTGGATGGCGAAAAAAATCAGGTGGGGAAAGAGCAGCTAGGTGGGTTTTGGAGGGAGGGGCGGCCAGCAACCCAGCCAGACAAGACCGAAAAGAGAAAAAAAAGTTCAAAAGCTCACCGAAAATTTCAAAATTTCTTGACAATACTTAAACCCGCCCCACGCTGGATCTCGTCTTTCCTCCTGCGCCCTGATTCCCCCCATTCATCACCACTCCCTTTCCCTCTCCTCATCTTAGAAAACACATTCAAGATGGCCACTGAGACGTATGACGGTGCCATTGGCATCGATCTGGGTATGTTTCCGTCTTCTGCTCTCTGTCGCCGCACATTTTCGCTCCCGGTGCGGTGCTGCCGTTTTCCTCAAGTTGCCGATTTGCTGACCTTGTCCGCCTTTTCAATACAACAGGTACCACCTACTCCTGCGTTGCCACCTACGAGGGTAGCAATGTCGAGATCATCGCCAACGAGCAGGGTAGCTTCACCACCCCCTCGTTCGTCTCTTTCACCGAGAGCGAGCGTCTCATCGGTGAGGCCGCCAAGAACCAGGCCGCCATGAACCCCAAGAACACCGTCTTCGATATCAAGTCAGTAATATCCTCTCTCGCCATCAAAACAATCCCTTCAATGCTTCCCGCCTCACTCGGAAATCTATAGAGCGTCAATTTGTGCTGACCAGCTGTTCTCACAGGCGTCTGATCGGTCGCCGCTTTGACGACCCGACCGTCAAGAAGGATATCGAGTCCTGGCCTTTCAAGGTTGTCGATGACAACGGCAACCCCAAGGTCGAGGTTGAGTACCTCGGCGGCACCCACACCTTCTCTCCCCAGGAGGTTTCCGCCATGGTTCTTACCAAGGTGAGTCCCAATTGATACATCCATCCACATCATCGGACCTCAATCCGCTAACCCGACTTCCCACCATCACAGATGAAGGAGATTGCCGAGACCAAGATCGGCAAGAAGGTTGAGAAGGCGGTCATCACTGTTCCCGCCTACTTCAACGACAACCAGCGTCAGTCCACCAAGGATGCTGGTGCCATTGCTGGCCTTAACGTTCTCCGTATCATCAACGAGCCTACTGCTGCTGCCATCGCCTACGGTCTTGGCTCCGGCAAGTCTGAGAAGGAGCGCAACGTCCTGATCTACGATCTTGGCGGTGGTACTTTCGATGTCTCCCTCCTGAATATCCAGGGCGGTGTTTTCACCGTCAAGGCGACTGCTGGTGACACCCACCTTGGTGGCCAGGACTTCGACACCAACCTCCTTGACCACTGCAAGAAGGACTTCACCCGCAAGACCAAGAAGGATCTGTCCGGTGATGCCCGTGCCCTGCGTCGTCTCCGGACTGCTTGCGAGCGTGCCAAGCGTACCCTCTCTAGCGGTGCCCAGGCCACCATTGAGATCGACTCGCTCTTCGACGGCGAGGACTTCAACATGCAGATCACCCGTGCTCGTTTCGAGGAGCTGAACAGCGTCGCCTTCAAGGGCACCCTTGATCCCGTTGCCCAGGTCCTCAAGGATGCTGCCATCGAGAAGAGCGGCGTTGACGAGATCGTCCTCGTCGGTGGTTCTACCCGTATCCCCCGTATCCAGAAGCTCCTCAGCGACTTCTTTGACGGCAAGAAGCTCGAGAAGAGCATCAACCCCGATGAGGCTGTTGCCTATGGTGCCGCCGTCCAGGCCGGTATTCTCTCCGGAAAGGCTGCCTCTGCCGAGACCGCCGACCTCCTCCTTCTCGACGTGACCCCTCTGAGTCTTGGGGTGGCTATGGGTCGGTTTTTCTCCTCTCTATCTCTCCGGTTCACCTAGCTAACTTACTTTCTGTACAGAGGGAAACATTTTCGCGCCAGTTGTCCCCCGTGGTTCCACCGTTCCTTGCCTCCGCAAGCGAACCTTCACCACTGTTGCCGACAACCAGCAGACCGTTCAGTTCCCCGTTTTCCAGGGTATGTTTTCCCCCAGTTCTCCCAATCTTGTATGAGGCTGCTTGCTAACTTGTTTATTTAGGCGAGCGTGTTAACTGTGAGGTCCCCCCTAGAGGCGCTGACAACCGAATGTGTGGCTAACAAATCAAATAGGCGACGACAACACCTCTCTGGGCGAGTTCACTCTGGCTCCTATCCCCCCGATGCGTGCCGGGTACGTGGTCTTTCCTTTAAAAACGCTTACTAGAGGCCATTCCAGCTAATTCAAGATACAGTGAGGCCGTTCTCGAGGTCGTCTTCGAGGTCGACGTCAACGGTATTCTCAAGGTCACAGCCAGTAAGTTACGCCAGCAACTCATACGTAGAACATCCTACTGACCACCCATGTTATAGCCGAGAAAACCTCCGGCCGAAGTGCCAACATCACCATCTCCAACTCCGTGGGCAAGCTCTCCACTGCTGAGATTGAGAACATGATCAACGGTAAGTCGATATGCTCCTGGAACCACATCTAGCAGGCGATACTGACCAGTCACCCAGATGCCGAGAAGTTCAAGTCGAACGACGAGGCCTTCAGCAAGCGCTTCGAGGCCAAGCAGCAGCTTGAGTCCTACATCGCCCGTGTCGAGGACATTGTCTCCGACCCCACCCTGTCTCTGAAGCTCAAGCGTGGCCAGAAGGAGAAGATTGAGCAGTCTCTCAGCGACGCCATGGCTCAGCTCGAGATTGAGGACTCCAGCGCTGACGACCTCAAGAAGAAGGAGTTGGCTCTGAAGCGCATTGTCACCAAGGCTATGTCCTCGCGATAAATGCTCTATGTCGACGCTGCCTCTGTCCCTGGGTCAAGCCAAGTTCAGCCTCGGTAGGATGTATGGAGATTTCGGGTACTCGGGTCAGGGGTACTCTTGAAATATCGACGTCGTGATAATGCTAGGCTCTGAGGGTAATACGAGCACGGCATTTGATATGTTCCTGGGTTTGGGGGGTGCTTTCTTCTCTGCATTTGTTGATGTCTTTGTTTCACAATGGGCAGGGAAAAAGTTTCTAGAGACTGATACTGCATTTGGTCGTTTTGAACAAACCTTTCTTCTTTACTCACGCATTCCTGCACACCACCTTTACTCCGACCACGAACCCTCTTACGGCGCAATGCATGTAGAATAGGGAGGATAGGCCCACACGGTTCACGGGCTTAACGAAAGGGAAAAGATGCCAATTTTCAACTATGTTCTCCTTGCTTGATATGTGTGCCATGAGTGATCATGTTGAAAATGCATCTCGCTCCCTTCGATTTGATGTTTTTCTTCTCCTCAACAACCATGAGACACCACACACCACACACACATTAACAAAAACAGACGCGAACACACACACACATGACAGAGAGAGACAAGATGGCCGCTGCCGGACATATCGGCAGTCTGCATGGCGACATCGTCGTCAACAGCGGCTCTGCCGAGCTCGTGGCGGCCGCCTTGATAAGGGTCTAACCTCCAACGTATGGCACCTTCCATGCCATATGCTTTTGATCTTGCCGCTTATGACTTTAGGTAGTGGGATAACCCGACAGAGTTACTGGTTGTTCAAGCGTGGCGTGGCGAGGCTGTTAGGCATGTTGAACTCTGTATTAAGCTGATTGAGTAGCATTCCTTAGGTAGGTAGGTTGAGACTGCACAACATCATCTTCTACACATCGACGAAGCAATCATTAAACTTCACACACTCTGCTTGTACTTTCACTCGCTGTCACTTCACCTTACACCCCGTTTCAATCTCTTTTCGGTTTCACCCCTGTTCCTCTCCTTTCCCCCTTCTTCTCTTCCTCCTCTTCTTTCTCTTTTTTCTCCCCCCTCCCAACCATCCCCCTTCCTTTCTCCTCTCCTTCTTCCTCCTCTATCCCGACTTGCCAGCAGCCTGACCCTGAAGCCTTGCCAGTTGTGAATAGTTCTTGGAGTCGGTTGTCGGCTCTGGTGTATGCATCAAGGGATGACTCCTGACAGCACACGAGCAGTTTCCATTTGTGTTCATACGGGTCTTGTAGCCACTAATCCACTCATTCTCTCACTCTCGCGTACCCAGCTATTATATGACCTCTCCACATTTTGTTATCTTGCCCCGGTTTCCCAAAATAAAGAAGAAAAAGACGAGAGCATCCTTCCGGAAGATCGGTCCTAGCAGTACAGTGCTTTGATGTGTTGATAACACCTCAGAGCGGCGTGCGCGCCATTCCGGATCCCAGCGCAGATCCATAGACTTCTACAAGCTTGGGGGCCATCGTCAAATGCGATCAGCTAGCCAACGGCATCTGTGGCAGTATTAGGAGGTCAACAAGGCAGCCTGTTTCTTTCCAGACTGGCGAAATCGCGTCTGAAGAGCATTGTGTTCCAACGGTATCCGGATGCTTATTGATGTGATGCAATGGCCGGGGATGCTCGTTCATGTAACCTGCCTTGAAATGACGAGCACGATGTGGCCCATAACGAGCCGTCATTTCCTGCCAGATCGGGGTTTTCCTTACAGTTGTACGTGGAGTGGTGCCTTGAAGCCGCCATTTCGCGACTCATCATTTGCCAACATTCACGAATTGTTCAGAGCCTAACATTGCTCAACGCCATTATTGAACATTGTTGGTCATGTTGGTAACAGTGGCGAAAGTTCAAGTAGTGTTGAGCATATTTTGTTGTGATAGTAAAAGTGGCTGATGAGAGGCAGAGCTGAGCATGTTCCGCTACCCCTATTAACAAATGGCTTGGTCTGATTCTCGTGATCTATTCTAATGGTGTCGACTGATTTTCTGTTAGGACTGTTGGCCATAAAGAAGAAGAGAAGAAGGCAAGGAGAAGGAAAGGAGAAGGGAAATAGACAAGCAACTGTCCAGCCGCCATGCCGAGTTCAGTCCGGTCCGCCACGGAGATGTACTCACTCACCGATGGGGCCAGACACCGACCCACGGTGGGACGAGCGTCAGACCAGTGAGCCAATGGTCCAAGACGTATATCGTCGGAGCAATCACTCTATCCGGGGGAGGGAGAAAGATGGCTGTGCACGCCACGATGTGATGATGTAAGAGGCTGGACAGCCCACCGTCCTGGAACACATGGCGTCTGGGGGGAGGCCATATGTTTAGCAACGACCCCTGTCCCTAGCTGGGGTGATTGGGCCACGCCAGATCGGCGCTCGAGACATCCGCTCAGCCTGAGCTCGATTAAGTTAATGCCGTTGCATTCTGGGGTACTTTGACACAGATGCCTATCTCTGCTTTGTTTCTCTCTCCATATGCTACTGCGCCCATGGGCAGGGCGAGGGGGGAGAAGCAAGGGCTGGGTTAGACAAGTGTTTTTTCGGGTCACTCTGTCAAGGTCCAAGGTCCGACAAAGAATGGTGTATTGTCATGATAGCTATATGCTCTTTGAAAAAGAAAGGGGGTTTGTGAAGGACTGGAATCTGTGTAGAGAATGCCTGTATCCAAAAGGCATGCAACTCCCTGAGATCTGACCAGCTCTGATGGTAGAAGGGAGATTTGTCCTGGCAAGTTAAGTATCTTGCCATAGAGCAGTTGCCTCCCTCGCCCAACCTCCCCGACCGCATCTCGATTGTTGTTCGAGAGCAGACCTTGCAATCGAGATTACTTCTTCCGACGCGTACCACCTCGGGTGATGTACTCTTGCAAGTACACTTTGTATCTGTGGCCCAAGGGTGTCTCTCGCTCTCACTCTCCCTCGAACTTCCCCAGAACCAGCCTTCATCGCCACACCGTTTGATAACAGAAACACGCTTGCCCAAAAGATGTGACGTGTAATTGTAGAAAGAGAAAAAAGGGAACCGTCCCCTTCCAGCACACTCGTCGTACATCTAGAAGTGCTCCTTCCAGAAGCGGAAGTGGACCTCCCGCGTGGATGCTTGCTGTGCAGCCTTGTGGATATCTCGTGCTGTTGGAAAAAGTATGAGGATTAGCCAACCGTTGTCCTAAATTACACATCGGGGTATCAACTTACCAGCAGCGGAGGGACCGCAGAAGTAGACACCGACGGTGGTCTTCATGCTGCCCTCGAGGCCGTTGAGGTAGGTGCGGTCGAGGATGCCGTCGCGCATGGTGGCGAACAGCTTGTTGAAGTTGGGGCGGCCAAAGTTGGTGCGGGCCTTGAGCTCCGTCAGCGGGTCGTAGTCGGCGCCGACCGAGTTGAGCACGATGTTCTGCGTCGTGTCCATGTCGAGCTTCTGCGTGAGGTAGGTGTGGATCTTGAGGAACTCGATGCCGTTGGAGCCCGGGATCCGGGCGGCCTCGGTCGACTGCTGCTCGAGGCTCGACAGCAGCGTCTGGAACCACTCGAAGGAGCTCGTGTCCTTGCAGACCCAGAGGAACTCGACGCGGCGCAGGCGCGTGGGCGGGTTGGGCCCGTTGCGCAGGTGCCAGATGTTCTTGAGGATGGCGGCCCAGGGCGTGACGCCGATGCCCGTGCCGATGAGCACGGCGATCTCGTTCTCGAAGACGTCCTCGGCGGGCGCGCCGTAGGGCCCGTCGATCCGCAGGCCGGGCATCTGCTGGCCGTTCTGCAGCGCCACCTCGTACATGCCCATGGGGTCGACGCCCTCGTAGAGCTTGGCCTGGGCGGCCCCCGCGCCGACGGCGTCGCCGAGCGCCCGCGTGAAGTCGCCGACCTGCCGGACGTGGACCGAGACGTAGGGGTCGTAGGGGCACGAGGTGATGGTGAAGGGGTGCCACTGGTAGCGGGAGATGGAGGGCACCTGCAGGAAGAGCCACTGGCCGGCCTTGTACTTGAAGGAGGGCTTGTTGAACTGGATCTCCACGACGTCTGCAGTCACACACACAAATACGAGTCAGCTTTGCAAAGCTCTTGGGTGTAAATTTCATCTTCCACAGGGATGTTCTGCTTACCGTAAGGGTGGCGGACGACACGCGTGATGGTCGTCTCGCGCCTGGCGCGGACCTCGCGGTAGATGCGCTCGATCAGATAGAAACCGCCCGTCCACAGCTCCCAACGCCATCCCTCGTAGCCGATGCAGTGGTCCCAGAAGTCCTTGCCGGCGAACGGGGAGAAGGGCTCCGCGGTGTCACGGACGAAGCAGCCCGTGGTGTGGGTGTACAGGCCCAGGAAGAAGGGGATGAAGAGGTGGTGAGTGTACCAGAAGGTCTCGAAGGACTGCTGGCGGATGCGGTGGTGAGCGGTGGTGTACATCAGGAGCATGCAGAGGAGCATGACGTGGCCAGTGATGCCACCGGCCTGGGTATAGTGAATCTGGATGGCCGTGACGGGACGGATCTGCCTCTTTTCGACGTTGAAGAAGCTGAAGCGTTCACAGTCAGTCCAAACATGCTCTCACAGGGTTTTGCGGCCATCAGATCTGCTGCTACTCACTTGACGTAATGGCTGGCGGTGTGGATGATGGTGAACAGCAGCATCGAGTACGCCAGTTGCCGGTGCATCCAGATGTTCTCGTCGAGCGGAATAAAGCGAATCTTTGGCCTAAAGAACCGCATGATCGTCCGGCACACGGGCAGGAGAATAAGCATGCCGTCCACACTCAACACCAGACCGGCACCACGAGACAACCACACGGAGAACTTGAGCGTGTTCAGACCCGCCAAACGCGGGTCGGCGGCTTGCTTCCACCTGTTTCTCTTGGTCAGCGGACGCCCGCGTTCATCGCCGTAACCTGCCATCTCGCAGCACCCGATGCTAGGACTCACCATCCATATGCAAAAATGGCCCAGTGAAATGTCCAAAACAGGAAATGAAACAGTAGCTTCGTGGGAGTAAACTGCTTTTTCAGCAGCGTCCAGAACTCCATGGTTGCGGCTGTTTATATAGTATCCTCCACTTCCTCTGGCGACTGGATGAATGTCGACCTGCGACGAATATCGGCGGTGGGAGATGCGACCCTTGACGTCGTGCGGCGTGCGGCGGCCTCGATGGGATGGAAGAAGAAGCGAGCGTAGCGGTGACGATTTCCAGTACCCTCGCCCCAATTCTTGTCCGTCACTCTCTTTTTTCGTTCTCTCTCTCTTTCCTCCCAATAGAAAAGGTTGTAATTCTCTCTCTTGTAAGGACCGGAAGTAACAGACGTAAAAGCGATCCCAGCCGGAATGGAAAAAAAGAGCGATCTGAGCCAGCAGCTATAAGCAAGAAACGAAGAAAAATGGACAAAAAGATGACACCGAAGGCGAATGTCGAGTCCTTCCACCTTGGCGAGTGAGAAAGAAGGAGAGGAAGGGAGAAGAGAGGGCCAAAAGGTAGGAACCGAAAGGGTAACGGGTGGGGGCTCAAGTCATAAAGGATGCACGATCGATCCCAAGGCGAGCCGTGGAGGGACCAGGTATGGGACTCTCCACCAAGAGCAAGGCTTCGGATGATCAGGGGACTCTTGATTCCGGTTCAAGGGTGGCAATACCGTGCCAGTGCAGCGCAAAGCTAGGGTGACCTTTGGCCTCTGGATGTCAAGGTGTCATGAAACCTCTAATCCGCATCGGGCAATGCTGGGGGAGGATCTTGCTTCTGGAGAACTGGGAGAGGGGAGAGGGCAGAGGGCAGAGGCTGATAACACGGAGTACGAAGTGTACGTCAAGCAGAGCGAACTGGGCCGGGGGTCTGTCGATGGTGGAACAGACAAGGCTCGAAGCGATGGAGTGTATGCGATAATAGGTAGCGAGGACCGAAGGAGGGAGCAGAGGCAGGGGTCGTCGTGACTTGTGGTCCTTGGTTCAGAGAGTCCTTTAAGCCTCCACCAACCTGATAAAAGACGAAGAGGTAGATCAGACGCTGGAGGGGTTTCGCGGTCGGACTGTGCTGTGTCAGGACCGAACCGGAGAATTTGTGTACCAGAAGGCAGGGCCTTGTGACGGGCAGCGAGCAGCAGTTGAGACGAGAGGTGTTAGAGCCGCTTTGACGAGGGGGGGCTGCGGAGGCTGTCGTGGTGTTTCGGCTATGACAGGGATCCCTATTGCAGTGCGACGGCACGGTTGTGTTGTAGAACAGGGGCGCGGTTTAAGCGATTTCAAGGTTATCTTGGTCTAAGTATGACACACCGATGGATGCAAGGAAAAAGAAAACAGACTCAGTCGCCAAGGGTATCTAGGGAGCATTACAGGAGAACATCAAGAATCAAGAAGGAAGCCAGAAAAGCAGAGAGACGGGGTGTGCCCATGCATGCAATAAAAGGGAAAATGGGATCGCGACCCTGAACGGCCTGGATTCCGGCCCAACTAAGAATAGCTGTCGGCGTGCGAACAGGGCGGCCCGCAGGTGTGACCACATTGTCGGGCGCTTAAATAACGTTGATGGCTGGCATTTGCAGCAACGAGATTCGCCAGGGGCCTACGACTAGTATCTGCTAGCGGCCTGGCCAACGCTTGGTGTTGCAGGTGTCACGACTCCAGGGGCTTGGCCATGGCCAATGGTTTGCCTTCCAGGGGCTCCTCAAACTCCCCCCACAGCAAAGCTACAAGTAACTAGGTACCTAACCTGCCCCGTTCTGCTACTGCAACGGACATCCATGCAGCGAGCTTCACCATCCACGCGTGCCGTCCTCTATCCGGTCTGGACGAGCGAAGAAACACCGTGCCTGACAGGGGGAGAACTCAATCGACGCCTGCAACCCCCTTGTCGAGGCCACGGCAGGTTGGACAGGATAACCTTATTCAGATACACATATCGGACTCGCTGCTCCACAGGTCAGACTCCTTTGGTACTGGTAATCAAAGCTTCCGTCCCTCGTGCCCTCCAAGAGTCCAAGAGCTTTGTGACAGCTTGGCGATGTGGACAAAGAGCGATGGATTGGTCCGAAAGAAGTAACTGCCAGGGTCTGGTGGTGCCATAAGTGCGCTCATCGCTTCCATTGTCATTCGAGCCATGTTTTGTTGATCGACTCGTCTCCCCCCCTGGTGATAGAACCCCATCAAACAAACTGAGGCTTCCGGCTGCCGATGTTGAATGCGGCGTGCGTAACTAGACTCCAGAAGGCTGCGAACCATGGCCGGTGCGTATTCCAGACGGTCCCGGTCCTGCTTTGCTTGACCTCCTGGCAGGAACTGATGACATCGAACCTCCTTTCTAAGCCGTGTGGGGATCCGAGATCTTGTTGCACGCCATTGAAAGCCAAAACGGCAGCCCGTTGACGCTTGTCCGGAACAGGATGAGATCACCGTCCCATTCTGCGCCGTAACCTGTGGCTCAAACCGCTTGCAACAATGTGCATCTTGAGATTGCCATCTGCCAGCTCAGAAATTGCCTTCTTCACAGGCCAAGGGCCGTCGTACCGTGAGATCTCGGTTGTCAGGGCTGCTCGATTTGATCCCCGCGCGAGACATACGGCTCAAACCACTAATGAGCTTGGTAAGTGCTTCTCTCGCCCAGCTGAAAACATAAACCCCATAGGACCATGCATGATCAACGCTGCATCGACGACCCGCGTAACAAACATCCAAGGGGCTGATCGGACTACTCGAGACGTTTGATCTACCCTCGGTGGCAACGTCAGAGGGACGAGATGTCTGCAGAGGGCACTCTCGATCAAAACGGTGGCCAAATAGATGCTGTCATGGCCACCAGCGAGGGCAGGAAAGCCCGACTTGGCTATAGAGATCGTCGATGCTGTCGCTCGATCTGCTGAGCATCTTTTGCTCGGCGACGCTCTTATGCTTATGACTTAGTTACTCATTGGGACGAGAAGGGCAAAGCGTAAACATGATCAATAGCAACGTTTATTCTTGTCTGTCAAGGGCGCTGAGTCTTAGAACAATTGCGCCCTCGCAGTGCCTGTTAACCCTCCTGTCAATGCAACGCTCCGGCAACGGTTTCTGATGCTTAAACAGCTTATGGTACAATGGCAATGTCTTCAAAGTTCAAACGGAGCATCGTTCCTCCCTGCGGTCTGCTCTTCCTGCGTCAGCTCAAGCAATCCCTTGGAGGGCATACCGCCATCACCGTCCTGATCGTTAACCCAATCTCCAGATGTGATGGGCATGGCGCCCTTCCCTTCGTCGTTTAGCTACTCGCTGGTTCCATGTCCGCCCAAAAGAGTGGTCCTTGCGTTGCTTTCTCCCAGGGCGAAGCCTTGTAGAGCGTCTTGATGGTGGTCAAGGTCAGCTTTCCTGCCTCCTCCTCTTTGGCGATGCTGATGATTTTGTCGCGATGAGTCCTGCTGACCTCGACTTGGAATTGGACTGGAAAACAGTACGGTGACTGGAGATGTTGCTGTCGCTCCTGGGGCAGCTGTTGTGCCTGCTGCGTGGACTGTGGCTGTTGTTGATATTCTTGAGATCGCGAGGCTTGTTGGGCAACGGCAGGATTGCTGACAACACGGCGGGTTCCTTGGCCACCGAGCCCGTTCTTGTGAGGCGGGAGCTCTCGTGGAGAGAGTGAGACAATGCGGTGTCGCATTGCAGCTGGGGCATCAAAGCTCCTCTGGCTTCTGTTTGAAGCAAAACTTTGCGTAGGCATTGGTCTAACAGAGGGGGCTTGCTGATCTTCTCGGTCCTTGTTGACCCTTCGCAATATCCCCGACGGGAGGACGGTACAGTTTTCGAGGCCGATACTGTGAAGAGAGCTTTGTGTAGATGCTGGGCCAACAGTGGGGAGTTGCTGGTCCTTGTTGGCATGTCCCAGTAGCTCCAATGGGGTGCCACCAACGTTGTTGTGGCCAACATTGGGAAGAGCCAGGGACTGGTGGTGGTTTTTCTCTTCAGAGTCTGCTGGTTGGCCAACGGTGCTCTGCATAGCGTGGGACTTCTCCGCCGGGGCACGGTGAGACTCGAGAAGGATTCGCCTCCGCTTGGCTTCATGTTGTTCTTCAGGTCCCTCATGAGACGGCTTCAACTTCCCCTTGAAGAGATCAGAGGTCGAGGGGTCTTTCATTGCATCAGAACTATTAGCGAGGTCCCCTCTCGTGAGGTAGTCGTCCATGGAGTCAGGAAAGGAGGATGCAAAGATGCAATTCTTACCATCCAAGTGCTCAAACGCGGCCTGCTTGTTTGCGTCGGACATGTACCTCGATTGGACAGTGTCAGAATTGTCATCGTCGTCAACGGCGAAGACCGCGTCGCCCTCGATCTGAGAGCCGCCTGACATCGTGCTCAGATTCCAGAAAGGTCAATCTCAGCAATGCCCCTAAAATATGTGAACCGGGGTAAAAATATGCTGCGATTCCGAAAATGAAGTTTCTAGGAGTGTCCAACGCCTTGCGGGCAGTCTGTAGGGCGTGTGCAAAATTTCCCAGGATCACGGCGATGGAAGAGGGTAGAGAAAGGAGAATGCGAGGAGAAATCTCAAATGGCTCCCAGCGGTCAAACAATGCTCAGAAATAGGTAGGTATGGATTAGGTAGGCATGGATCAGGCAGGTACCGGTTAGGAAGGTATCACTTTTGGGAGAGCATGGTCTTGAAGATAATATCTGTACGAACTGAGTGGGTGGAAGAATCTCATTAACTTTGATGATCCTGCTCTTCAGTTCCAGCTCCAGCTGCTAGCAGCAGTACCTCGGTCAAGCGCAGGGCATTTGATGAATGGCACACTCGTCAGGCTCTCTCCATCCCATCAGGAGGCTGTGTGAATAGCGAAGCTGTCATGACAACAGCCAGTATCAGGTCTGGACGAGACCGGTTGAGCGGTGTAATTCCACCGCTAATCTGAGTAGGAAAGACATCCCAGCTCTTCATTCAAGAATAGAAGAAGAAAAACAACTGTCTGGAAGAGATTTCAAGAGAGAAGGCTACAGCCTTCAGCTGTGTTGTTGGGTGGCTAATTGTTTGCGTGGCTCTCCGGCTTGAGCGAGGCGGTGCATGGCCGGATTAGCATCGGACCGCCCCGCCATTTGGGAAATCAAGTGCGGTGGGCGGGTCCAGCATTCGTCACTGCACATCGGCCCTGTCAGGCACCGCCGAAAGTGGCTGTTTCATATGAGGCGGAGCACCTCAACCACCACCGAACATCCAGCTGGCCAGCTTTTTGCGAGGTTGGGCGTCATAGCACACTAGATATCCGGCACTCATCCGGCACGCAGACTTTGCGACCGACATTCCGAGCTTCGAACCTTTCTGCGTGCTCTCTCTCACCCCTCTTTCCGCCCTCAAGACGACCTCGGCGTATCCCTACTCCATGAGAACTGGCCGCGGCCGACCTTCACGACATTGCGATTAGGCACCGAGGATGGTGAGTAGAGCTTCTACTGCCGTAGCTGTCCAACGGATGGCAGAGGCAGCTGCTAATGAAACTCTCCCCAGGGTATTACTCGGCGAGCCAAGGATAAGGCTGCTGGCCATGCCGGCGGCGTCGCCCGGTCTGGCGGCGCCGGAGCCAGCAAGCCCAAGAAGGCCACCTTCGACACGACCAAGAAGAAGGAGATCGGAGTATCAGATTTGACCTTGCTGAGCAAGGTCTCGAACGAAGCGATCAACGAGAACTTGAAAAAGAGATTCGAGGGCGCCGAAATCTACACCTACATCGGCCATGTGCTGGTGTCTGTCAATCCCTTCCGGGATCTCGGGATCTACACCGACCAGGTCCTGGACAGCTACCGAGGCAAGAACCGACTGGAGATGCCGCCGCATGTGTTCGCCATCGCCGAGTCGGCATACTACAACATGAAGGCGTACAAGGACAACCAGTGTGTGATTATCTCGGGCGAGTCCGGTGCCGGCAAGACCGAGGCCGCGAAGCGCATCATGCAGTACATCGCAAACGTGTCCGGAGGCGACACGGGCGACATCAAGCAAATAAAGGACATGGTGTTGGCCACAAACCCCCTGCTCGAGTCCTTCGGCAACGCCAAAACGCTGCGCAACAATAACTCGTCGCGTTTCGGCAAGTACTTGCAGATCCACTTTAACAGTGTGGGCGAGCCTGTTGGTGCCGACATCACCAACTATCTGCTGGAGAAAACGAGGGTCGTGGGCCAGATCACGAATGAGCGGAATTTCCACATCTTCTATCAGTTCACCAAGGGCGCATCCGAAAACTATCGCCAAATGTTTGGCGTGCAGAAGCCAGAGACGTATCTCTACACCAGCCGGTCCAAGTGCTTCAACGTCGATGGCATAGACGACGTCGCAGACTTGAAGGAAACGCTAGAGGCGATGAGGATCATCGGCCTGTCCCAGGCTGAGCAGGACAGCATCTTCCGCATGCTTGCAGCCATCTTGTGGACCGGTAACCTCGTCTTCCGGGAGGACGACAGCGGTTACGCGGCAGTATCGGATCAGTCTGTGGTTGACTTCCTCGCTTATCTCCTCGAAGTCGACTCCCAGGAGTTGATCAAGGCCATCACGATCCGCATCCTCACGCCGAGGAACGGTGAGGTTATCGAGTCGCCCGCCAACGTTGCCCAAGCGATGGCTACGCGGGATGCTCTGGCCAAAGCGATCTACAGCAATTTGTTTGACTGGATTGTGGAGCGCATTAACCAATCTCTGAAAGCACGGCAACAGGCGAGCAACACGATCGGTATCTTGGATATCTATGGCTTTGAGATTTTTGAGAAGAACAGCTTCGAGCAGCTCTGCATCAACTACGTCAATGAGAAACTGCAGCAGATCTTTATTCAGTTGACTCTCAAGACGGAGCAGGAGGAGTACGCGAGAGAACAGATCAAGTGGACGCCCATCTCATATTTTGACAACAAGATTGTCTGCGACTTGATTGAGTCTACACGACCGCCGGGCGTGTTCTCAGCCATGAAGGACGCCACCAAGACGGCCCATGCCGACCCAGCGGCTTGCGACCGAACTTTCATGCAGAGTATCAATGGCATGTCCAACCCGCACTTGACGCCTCGCCAAGGCAACTTCATCATCAAGCATTACGCTGGTGATGTGTCTTATACCGTGGACGGCATCACCGACAAGAACAAGGATCAGCTACTCAAGGGCTTGTTGAATTTGTTCCAGGTCAGCCAGAACCAGTTTGTTCACACTCTTTTCCCCCATCAGGTCGACCAAGACAACCGTAAACAACCCCCTTCGGCCGGAGACAGGATCCGTACGTCAGCGAATGCCCTCGTCGAAACCCTGATGAAGTGCCAGCCATCATATATCCGAACTATCAAACCCAACGAGAACAAGTCGCCCTCCGAGTATACCGTACCGAATGTCTTGCATCAGATCAAATATCTGGGTCTCCAGGAGAACGTACGTATCCGCCGTGCCGGTTTTGCTTACCGTCAATCCTTTGAGAAGTTTGTCGACCGCTTCTTTCTGCTCTCTCCCGCAACATCCTATGCCGGTGAATACACATGGGACGGCTCCTACGAGGCTGCTGTCAAACAGATCCTTAAGGACACGAGTATCCCCAAAGAAGAATGGCAGCTCGGTGTCACCAAGGCCTTTATCAAGTCTCCGGAGACTCTCTTCGCTCTGGAGCATATGCGAGACCGCTACTGGCACAACATGGCCACCCGTATCCAGCGCATGTGGCGCGCCTACCTAGCGTACCGCGCCGAATCTGCAACTCGTATTCAGAGGTTCTGGCGCAAGAAGCGGACTGGTGCCGAGTACATTCAGCTGCGGGACCAGGGACACAGAATCCTGCAGCAGCGCAAGGAAAGGAGACGCATGAGTATCCTGGGGTCTCGGCGTTTCCTGGGCGACTACCTCGGAATCAATGCTTCAACGGGACCCGGCTCCCAGATTCGAAACGCCATCGGTCTGGGCGGCAACGAGAGGGCGCTCTTCTCTTGTCGCGGTGAGATCTTGGAGGCAAAATTTGGCCGCTCGAGTAAGCCGAGCCCTAGGACTTTGATCGTCACCAACAGCAAGTTCTACATCGTTGCTCAGATGCACACTGGAGGACAATTCCACATCGCTGTGGAGCGCTCGATACCTCTAGGCGCCATCAAATTTATTGGCGCCTCGAGCGCCCGCGATGACTGGTTCTCCCTGGGTGTCGGCTCACCGCAGGAAGCCGATCCTCTTCTGAACTGCGTTCTCAAGACGGAGATGTTCACACAGATGCAGCGCGTGATGCCTGGCGGCTTCAACCTCAAGATCGGGGAGACGATCGAATATGCTAAGAAGCCCGGTAAGATGCAGATCGTCAAGGTCTTGAAGGACTCGCCCAGCCCACACGACTTCTACAAGAGCGGTGCAATCCACACACAGCCAGGCGAGCCTGCCACCTCGGTATCAAGGCCGACGCCCAAGGGCAAGCCGGTGCCGCCGCGCCCGATCACCAAGGGCAAACTCATCAAGCCTGGTGGTCCCAACGGCCGGCCCTCTCGCCTCACTGGTAACAGGGCAGTCAAGCCACGTCCTGGTGCTGCCTCTTCTCGCCCTGTCTCGCAGGCCGCCGCGCACGCCCAGCCTGCCGCTGCTGTTCAGCCTGCGGCGGCGGCTGCGGCGACGACTGTTCTGCCATCCCACGCGAGACAGCCATCAGCCTCGCGAGCGCCGCCGCCGCCGCCACCTATGGCTCCGGCCCAGCCTCCCAAGATCATGGCCAAGGTGCTCTACGACTTTGCCGGCCAGAGGGAGAACGAGATGTCCATCCATGCTGGCGACTTGATCGAGATTGTGCAGAAGGAAAACAATGGTAAGCCGACTCCCGAGTCCTTTTCTCTATTTACGGAGGGGAAATCTGTATCTAACGTTTGTTCAGGTTGGTGGCTCGCCAAGAGCGGCCGTCAACAGGCCTGGGTCCCGGCGGCCTACGTCGAGGAGCAGGCGCCCGCGCCGGCCCCGCGACCGGCCCCGCCCCCGCCGCCGGCGGGCAAGGCTAAGCCCCCGCAGCCGCCGATGAAGAGGCCCGCCGGGGGCAGGAAGCCCGGCGGTGCTGCGGCGGCATTGCAGCCGCGCGACTCGGGCATGAGCCTCAACGGGGCCGCGAGCGGCTCCGACGGCAGCCGGAGCAACACGCCCACCCCGGGGCTGGCTGGGAACCTGGCCGAGGCGCTGCTGGCGAGGAAGAACGCTATGCAGAAGAAGGCGGATGACGATGACTGGTAGAGATGCCTGCCTGCAGGCACAGCGAGCACGCGCATGCAAATTTTTGGCCTTGGATGGTGGTGGTGGTGGTGGTGGTGATACCGGCTTATAGACTGGAAAAGGGTTGGGGACAAGGAAGAGAGGTTATGGGGTAGCATGCATGCATGATTGACGGATGGATGGGCGGATGAAATGATGGTCTGACGCCCGCACATTAAAGTGAAGTCTATGTTGATGAGCGAGCACTGAAATGTCTGTGTGTGTGCGTTTGCGTGTATGTGGTTCTGCCTGTTTTTTTCACGTTAGATAGACGTTTGATGTTTTACGAGAATGACGGGAGGTTGTTTGCTGCAAGCCTTTGACACCATGCTAGTCAAAAGGATCTCTTTCTCTTCTTTTTCCCCCTTCCAGGAACATATCGAACTGTCTGGCTGTGTTGAGAAGAGTTATGGGCGAGAGAATAGCTGGACATGTTTGTCGCAAGTGGGCCTTGCCAGACGGGTTTTCATCTCGCCCAAACTAGATATAGATATTATCAGAGGCAGCGAAACAAAAGTGACAGAATATTGCTTATTACTTATTATATGGGTGGTATCTATCATCGCGATCATTACAATTACCGGGACTTTAGCCATGCATACTCCCACTTCCTCTCCCTTTTCAAAAGTCCGATCTTCCATCATCCATCCCCCCAGTCATCAACTCTCCCCGTCCCGCTCACGGACTTTTCTCCTCCTCAGCAGCTCCGCCAGCGGCACGTCGTCGTCATCGTTGTAGTTGTTGCTCCTGCCGCTACTACTACGGTTGTTAGACCCGAGCTTGTGCGCCACGTCGGTGCCCATAGTCCGCAGGCAGGGCACGTCGGCAGCCGCGTCGGCGTCCTCGTCGACGCCGTAGTCCCGCAGGCGGTCCCCGTCGGCGTTGGTCCACCCGGGCTCCCCGTCCATGCCCTCCTCCTCCTCCTGGATGTCGCCATCGTCGTCGTAGCGGTCGTCGTAGCGGTCGTAGTGCCCCTCGGGGAAGTCCTCGTCCTCCTCGAGCTCGGCCACGATGCCCGACCGGTCGCCGATGTGGTCCCACCGCCGCTGGCGCGCCGCGAACGCGGCCTTCTCCTCCTCGGGCGTGGTCGTGGTCGTCGCGTCGCGGTCGTAGTAGCCGCCGCCGCCGCCGCCGCCCTGCCGCGTCGCGGCCGCGGCGCCGGGCCACCCGCCCGTGCGGGCGCGGCGGAGCTTCTCCGGGTCGGGCGGGGGCCAGAGGCCCTCGCGGTCGTTGAAGCCGTTCTCCTCCCAGTCCCAGCCGGGACCCCTGCCGCCCGGGGAGATGCGCGGGCCGCCGGCGAAGGGCCAGAGCCAGAGCAGCGCGTTGGGGGTGCCCATGGCCTGGGCCATGTTGGCGAAGAAGCCGACGTCGTAGGGGAACTCGACGCGCTCGAGCTCGGCGCCGGCGCCGGCGCCTCCGTCCTGGGGGTCCCACCAGGAGCCGCTGCTCGAGTCGCCGCTGCTCGAGGACGAGTAGCGGTCGAGGACGGCCTCGTGGCGCTCGATCTCCCACCCCTCGATCATGGTGGTGTTGAGGACCCAGGCGCGGCCCGTGGTGAAGAGCATGATGGCGAGGGCGAGGCAGACGGCGCTGCAGACGAGGCCCAGGACGGTGAGGTGGATGAGCTGCGGCAGGGTCGGGCCCAGGTAGGCGGGCAGGTGGCGGCTGGCCCAGAGGGCGGCGAAGCGGGCGTAGAGGTGGGATGCCAGCGTCCAGAGGGAGAGGTTGGTGAAGGCGAGAAAGCGCAGGAAGTGCGGGAAGGTCTGCATGGAGACGCAGTTGCCCGTCCAGGGGCAGTGGTGGTCCATCTTGGGGATGCAGCGGCCGCAGTGGCGGCAGTGGTGGGCGCGCGGGGGCTTGGGGGCGCGGCACTTCTTGCAGTAGCGGGCGGCCGAGGCGGCTGCCGCTGCGACGGAGGACTTGCTGGCGCCGCCCGACTTTCTCTCCGCGGTGGTGTTGCTGCTGTTGTTGACTGAGCTTTCGGGGGCAGAGGACGGGAGAGGAGGGTAGCGGCCCGGGTCGACGGTGCAGGCCTTGAAGTAGGTCCACCACAGGCAGAGGAGGAGGGAGTTGAAGGCGACGAACTCGCGCGGGGTCAGGGGGCCCGGGGCGAGGTCCTCTGCGACGTGGAAGAGCCATTGGGAGCTGTACCCGAGGAAGGCTATGAGCATGCAGACGGCGGGGACGGCGAGGATCTGGAGGCCGCGGGTAGCTGGGCCTGTCTGGATGGGTGCCATGATGGCTCCATGGGACAGGGCAGCGGGATGAGGTGACTGTGCGTTTAAGAGAAGGGAATAGAATGGGAAGAGAAGGGCGCAAAGGGCGGCGAGCAAAGGTGTGTGTGTGTAAGAGGAGATATGGATGGGCCCCCCGGTGAGCAGAATGTCCCCCTTCAGCCCTCTTATTATGCGGAGGTGTCAGCTACTACTGTACAAGCTCCAAGCAAAACATTTAAACCTTGTCGGCAGCAGCATGCATATCTGCGCTGTAGCTCTCGATCGGGACAGATAAAGACAAATAAAGTAGTGATCGATGGAGACTGGACGGGCCCCAGCCCTGAATGCCGTGATCGACGGGGACGCTGGGCTTGCTGGGTACTGGGTTGTTGGGAAGCCTCCAGCTGCTGCTGCAGGAAGCTCGTGTGCGTGTCACAGCGTGTGTAATGGACCGGTCTAGAACGCCCGTTATGTCGGGCGTTTTCTCCTAGAGTGCAGGGGTGTCTCTGGCCTACAAAAGTTGACAGGGCCTTCGAGCTGGACACGAGCAGATGGAGAGAGAGAGAAGTAGAGAGAATCGAGGAAGCGTGGTAGGTAGGTGTAGGTACCTAAGCTCCTCCTTGGTGAGTACCTAGCTCAGTTTGTCGAGTTTGTCGCTTCATGCAATCAACGGTTGGGAAGAGGTTTTCCTGAAAACGGATCGCCGTCCACTCTCGGTCCAAAAAGAAAGACGGAATTGCACCCTGCAGCAAGGACGCGGGAGCTAAGAAAGGGGAGAAAAGCTGAGGGCGCGCTGTCTCGCTGTTTCAGACACATCTCCAGCAGCTGGGAGCGCCGGGCCGGAGTGGAGACAGCTTCTACGGTTAGCCGTCCAGCGACCGTTTAGGGCAGTTCGATCACGTCCCCAACGATTGTCAGCTTTAATTACAGCGGGTATGGATCTTAACTAGTTAGGCTGCCAGGCTGCCAGGCTGCCAAGTACCTAGGTACTCTTAGCCTTCCCCTGTGAGGCATGGTCTGGTTGCGTAATACGGACATGCATAGGTACAGAGTACTTGTACTTGTACTCTCGTCACGTATTGTCGATCCTACCTAGGGAGGCTGCTGATCAGCATCTCCATCTGCTAACGACACCGGCTTGGCAAATACGAGACCAAAGACAACCTCCAGTTTCCCTATCGTCTCCCTATCGTCTCGTCTTCGCATGCGACATCGTCCGCTTTGCGCTCTCTAGAGGGGAAGAAGCAACGGGCCAAAGTGGTGGTCATGTTCCATCCCTCCCTTGGCAGCTGTCTGTCGTTCGCACTCTGAGCCTCGACACGGGCTGTCCACATGCGCTTCCCCATCATCGCCGTCGCCGTCGCCGTCGCCGCCGTCTGGAGCTGCGCACACCATGGGTCCTGACAGGGGTGGAGCCCATCTCATGGCGCTCTGGTAAGACACCATCAGATGTGCGAGAACAGAAGTTCAAAGGCGCCTGTTTGACTGATTGAACGAACCATGTCGTGAAGTGCCGTGTCTTCATTCATTTGGCTCTCATACTCCCTCGAGAAACACTCCCTGGACGGTCAGTCTTCTCCAGCTGAATTCCATCCACATGGAGAATGAGACACTCACTGAGACTGACTGCACCTCTAGAGAAAATCCGGCTTTCTTCCTTTTCTATCCTCTTCGTCTCTAGCATCATCACCTTTGGTCTGAGCTTCTTTTCCGGCTGGTTACCTGGCGCTACCGGCCGGTTCGGTAAGTTCCGGACTCTGCCCCCTACGGTCCCTGCCCGTGCTCATGGCTTCGCACAACTGACCGTCCAAAGACGACGATATCGGGCCGCTCAAGGTCACCCATGTGAACCATCCACCCAGGCCCCGCCGTTACTTCCTGCCCGCCCTCGTGGCATGTGTTGTTGCCAGGGTTGAGCTCTTCAAATGGGTCGAGTATGATCTTCAATGCTCCAAACCTGCCCTCGAGGTAGGTAGCATTGCTGGAGCGGGATTGATCGCAACCATTGGCCCCCTCATGGCTAATGCTCGATAGTGTCTTCTACCTCTGGCCCTGCTCTCCATCGAGTTTGTCCGGCATGTCTCGCCCAAGGCCGAGGCGGATAACGAGGATGACATGGCCAACACCGTCTTTGACGACGTCACGGCATGGTTCTTGAGCTCCAAGTCGATGCTGGTGCTGAGTATTTCCCTCCCTACATATGGCGCCTATCTGGCCTTGCAGCCCAGCGCCAGGTCGACTGTGTTCTGCTCAGCCGCGGATCCCAAGGTCTTGGTCGTCTTCTCGCAATGGATCAGCCTCGGACTCGACTCGGCCATCTTGATCCTGGCCTGGCGCATTCTGGCCTGGACTCGCACCACCCGGAGTCGTGTGAAGACCCTCAGCTACGTCTTGCATCTGAGCGCCGTCGGGGTGGGTTTCATTGTCTTGCTCACGAAGCTCACAAAGACCGCGTCCATGGCCAGCAGTGCAGCACTGGCGATCAAGGGCATAGATTCCCTCTACGTGTTTGATATTGTCGTCGACAGCTTTGTCTTTTCCGCTCTCTTGATTTCGGGCAGCCTCTTCCTCTGTGACTCGACACCGCTGAACCTGACTTGCCTGATCACCTGTGTTGGCGGCCTCTTTGCTGCCGTGCATGGCGTGCTCCAGGTTGGAAGCTTCACATCCATGTCGGCTTTTAAAGCCTGGTTCCCGCTCCTCATGCTCTGTCTGGGCTTTTCCATGTTTCTATTTCACACCAATCAACGCTCCATCTTCTTCATCCGGAGATCATTTCTCGTGCTCTTTCTCTTCCTTCTCATCGTCGGTAGCGGGATTTACAGTTTCTTAGCAAGCAAAATCATCCGCGAGCACGCACTACACAAGCTCATATATGACAGGAGGATTGGGCAGGATCGATGGCTACGCCACGCGAGTATATCGTCCTCGCTGCGCGTTGCTGCTCAGGAATACAAAGAGAGAAATGATGGACGCGAGCCGCCGAAAGGCTTCGACGCCTGGTATCAATTCACCACCGATCGTCAGTCTGTCATCATCGATCACTTTGAGCAGACGAGGCAAGACTTGCTGCCATTCTGGGGCATGAAGCCCTCGGACCTGCGAGACAGCGTCAGGGCCTTATCGACAGAGCCAGAGATGGCCATCGTGACAGTCAAGGACAAGGCGGTGTCTCACAGCCTCCCACCCGAGAGCCCTCACAAGCAAGCCGTCGAAGAGCTCGTAGGGATGGTCAAGACTTTCGTGCAACACTTGCCGGACATGGAATTCGCCGTCAACCTCGACGAGAGCCCACGAGTTCTCACCCCGTGGGCCGACTTGCAACAGCTGATCAACAAGGGCAAGCCGGGAAAGCTCAGCCTCCTGGCACAGCGATCGCTGGAGCAGGTTGCTGACGGGGTGTCGCTCCGGCGAGACGCACCCGGACCAACAGCCCTCGATGCGCACCACAGACCTCATCTTTCTCCCCGTGACTTTCGGCAAATGAACGCCATCACTTGCCCTCCAGGCTCAGAGGCCAGGTCTGGTACATACTGGGATATCCGGGACTTGTGTGTCACCTGCCTAGCGCCTCACTCGCGGGAGCAATTTCTCGCCAACTGGGACCTGTCGACCCGGCTATGCCACCAGCCAGATATCCTAAAACTACACGACTTCTACCTTACCTCACCCGCCTCGCCGCCATGGCAGGATCTCAGGCCCGTGTTTAGCCGGTCAAAGACCGATGCGTTCAGCGATGTTCTGATACCGCTGCCGCGGGCCGGCGAGGAGAAAATGGAGGAGGATGCGGGGAAATCTCTGGAGATGAAGAAGGACAGTCTGACCTGGCGAGGCAAGATGGAGCAGAGCAACCCGAGCCACTCGCTCCTACGGGCTGGCCACCAGACGCGGCTCGTCCACATGGTCAACAACGCCACGTCGTCGGAGAAGACGCTGATCCTCCTGCCCTCGGCCTCCAACGGGGACATCTGGACCTACGAGCGCACCCGGACCGCCGAGCTCAACAAGGTGCTCCCCTTCGACGTCGGCTTCAGCGACTGCGCCGCCGGCTCCGCATGCGACGAGTTGGGCGGCGCGGCGCCGCCCGCCGACCCGCTCGACAGCCGGTACGTGCTGCTCACGGACACGGCGCGGGGCCCGCCGCGCCGGACGCTCGCGGCGCTGCGGTCGACGAGCGTGCCCTTCGTGGCCTCGGTCTTCCGCGAGTGGTACTCGGAGCGCCTGGCGCCGTGGCTGCACTACGTGCCCGTCGACGTGCGGCTGCACGCGCTGCACGGCACGCTGGCCTACTTTGCGGGCCTGTCGGGCCGGGGCGCGGTCAACGGGCGGGACCCGCGGTGGGACGCGGCCGCGGCGGACGCGAGCTGGATCGCGGAGCAGGGGCGGCGGTGGGCGGGGCGGGCTCTGCGGAGGGAGGACGCCGAGATTTACCTCTTCCGCCTGCTGTTGGAGTGGGGGAGGCTTGTGAGCGACCAGAGGGAGGGGATGGTGTTCCGGGTTGGGGATAAGAAGGAGAAGGAGAAGACGTGATGGGTTGTTGTGACTGTGAGAGTGCAACTTGTATAGAGGGTCAAATTTGGTAATATAGACAGGGCTTTTGGTATTTTGAAAAACCAGCATAATCCAAAGAATGTTTAGACATGAGCAAGCATCGCCCACTGCAAGTGCCAAGCGCACACTCCGAATGCCGTCGCTGCGCTACACGTCTTTCCACTGCGCATGCCCCGCCCAAGCAATGGCCCGCGTTTGTATCTGCATGCTCTCCAGCACCCTCTCCTTGATCCTCTCGTCCTCGATGTCCTGGCCCATGAACCCGCCGTGCGTCGCCCTGAAGTCGTACGCCTTGAGGACGGACCACATCCGGAAGACCTCGTCGCCGGACAGCGGGATCGAGTTGGGGATGCTCCACATGAAGGCGAAGGTGTTCATGCCCGCGGGCCGCCCGCGCGGCCGGCCCAGCGCGTCCGCGGCCCAGCCCCCCGTGCCGGCGGGCGTGGTCAGCAGCGTGTCGGCGACGAGCAGCCGGCCCGAGGGGGTCAGGAGCACCATGCTCCCCGGGAAGTGGCCGCCGAGCTTGACGAGCCGGCAGCCCGTGCCCTCGACCTCGCGCTCCGTCTCGCCCGGTGCGAGCAAGACGGTGCGGCCGGTGGGAGCCGGCGCCTGCGCCCAGCGGCGGTAGTCCTCGGCCGCGAGGTAGACGGGGCAGCCGCCGAAGGCGCGAGACCACTCGGCGTGCGAGGAGTAGAAGTGCGGGTGCGAGACGGCGATGGCGGCGAGCCCGCCCAGCGCGTTGATCGCGTCGACGGTGCGGCCGTCGACGAGCGTGACGCAGTCCCAGAGGACGTTGCCGCCGGCGGGCGTGCGCACGAGGACGGCGCGCTGGCCGATGGCGAACTTGGGCGCCGTGACGACGAAGGTGATCTCGCCGCCGCCCGAGGAGGCCAGGGGGACGAGCTCGTTGGCGTGCGTGGCGCGGAGGTCGCGCATCGTGGTGAAGGACTGGCCCGCGGGGGGCACGAACTGCCGCGGGTCGTCGCAGATGGGGCACGTCGGGACGAGGGCGCGGTCCGCGGTCGGGAACTGGGTGCCGCAGGTGACGCAGACGAGGTTGGCGTCCGTGGCGGAGGGGTCGTAGGGAGAGGGAGAGGGAGAGGAAGAGGTCATGATGGGCAGTTTGGCCGGAGGGCTGAAGGGAGGAGGGTTTGCTTATACGAGGGTGTAAGTTGAAGGTCTGACTTGTACACTTTGCTTTGTGTACGGAATTTACGAATGTGATGGACGAGGCCGGAGGTGAGGTTCGAGCGAGCTCTATGCTCAGTGTGCCTGAGCATGCACCATATCAGGAGAGTAGGAGGAGATCACACATGAGACAAGAGTCACAGGACAGAGGGGGAATCTATATATTGGATGCAATGACGATGGTGCGGGGAAAGAAAGATGCTTTCCAAAAGAGCTTCCCCGCATCTCAAGTGCTTGCTTATGCACTCAGTCACTTAAACAGCTCCGTCTCGTCTTGATCAAAAGGAAGCTTGATTGAACGTCTAACTACTGTAAGAACTTCCTCCCCTCATCCTATTCATCCAAGTGCTTGGATGCGCCTTATTCTGTGCAGGTTGTTCTGACAACCAGTAGTGAGAAGTGTTTGAAGAGTTTCTAAGTCTGGGCATAATATCTTACACCCTACTTAATAGCTTATATTATCTTTTCTTTAGTTTTACTTAAGACTAGTCTTTATTTTTACCACTCTTTTATCTAAACTAAAAATCTTCAACTATTACGCTGCTACTACAGTTCGGCGCTCCTCAGCTCAACGCTATTCACAGCCGTCTTTCTCTTAACCAGAACAAACTCCCATATATGAGAAAATGGGTAAGGGGACGAAGACCGGCTCCCGTCACTGGTCAGCGATCCGGGGCACATCGCTTTAACCATGATAACAATCGATCCAGTCCTACATGCAAACAGTCCTTTAGCTCCCGATGCGCGAATAAGGGTCATGCTGAAAGGTGTTCCATAAACGTGTGACCTCGTCGTGACACCCAATCAGCCTGCATCCATTCCGCGTGTGGTGCCACTATTGATGATGGGGCTGAACTGTGTGTTCTTGCCCTAACTAGGCCGTCGCCCCATCTCCAGTTCCCTGCTGTACATATTTCTCCCCATTGATAGATTCATAAAGATCTGGCAGAACGAGGCTGATCATAGGGCCCAACAGGGCCAGCTCAAACTGGTTTCGGGTGATGGCAGACTCGATCAACTGGCGACGCACGCTTGTCGATTGAAGGGCGGAAGATCCATTATCAGAGTGTTTAGAGATGAACACTTCTTTATAGGCATCTCGTGCGACAACTGGGCCTGAGAGGTTGTCGTGGAACATCCACGGAAACACACAGAGCGAGGGTAAGGGAACAGTGTTTCCAGGAAAGTCGATAATTCCTGTGATGTTGAATTCGTCATCGACCTGCGAAAAGTACCCGATTAGTTCCTCATTATGTTACAGTTCAACTCTAACATACCAGGATATTCTGCACCGTCAAGTCATTGTGACCAATGACGAATGGCCCATTGTCAAACTCAGGAATAATGATTTTCGGAGCCAGGCGGGCAAGTGCCTTATAATCGGCAATCATCTGCGGGCTATGCTTGTGTCCAGGTCCAGTGGTCTCCTGTGTTAGATTAAGGACCGAGATCGAAGAGTAAAAGTCGGTAATACTGCGATACGGGCCTCTATAGTGGGGATCCAGGCTGTGGAACGCTGTCGTCCGTTCTTCCGGCTGCGACGTATAGGTTGGGTCACAATATTGAACTACTGTGAAGTTCCCCTCTGGGTCCTCTCGTAAAGAACCAATCGACTCAAACCGGTGGCTAGCTGGAGTCCAATATATTTTAGCTGTCTGGGTAGCAATGCCCAAGGGTAGACATTCTTACCTAACTCGATAATAATATCCGTCAGTTGTTCATGTATTTTCCTGGCCGCGCTAAGCTGCACAGGCGCCAGGTCGTCGTCGTCCGAGTCGTCGTCCGAGTCGTCGTCGAATGTCGGCAAGTCGTGACCCGGTAGCTTTTCCATCAGAATATATGAGGTCCCGAAGGTATTGCCGCTATCAGATGCCGCCGCATAGTCATATACCGATGGTACTGGGATGCTACTGTGCTTTTTGAGATATCGGAGAACCGCCGCGTATGACAAAGTCGCCTCCTCTGGCTCGAAACAGTTATCAGGGCGCGGGATTCTCGCCAGCCAGACTTTACCATCCTGGAAGACCAGCTCCTGGATAATATTGAAACCTAGGCCGTGTATTAGACACTATTCGATGACCGGTTGATTGTATCGTGTGATACTGACCTCCAACCGTATGGCCTCCCAACGAACAGGAGCCTCCGCCCTCGATGTCAGAGGCGATACGGCAGAGCTCCTCGAGTTTAAGCTGGTCAATGAACGCGTGAATATCTGAGTCTTCGCTATCGTGGGAAGACATCTTTTCTTCAGAGGAGGTGTGGTGATGCTGTAGTGTCAGGTGAAGTTCGCAAGCGCACGCCAGCGGTAGTTGGAAGGGGGGTAGGAAGAGGTGGATGTACGGAGTAAGACGTGTGTTGCTGTCGACACTTCCGTTTTCTGAATGGTCGGCCTCCCTCCGCCAGGCCGCCCTCTCCGCCAATCAGAACCCGGTGCAACGGGCCCGACGTTTGTCCCTATAACCCCGGAGGGCGCTAGGTAGTTCCCTGTACGCACCTGGCTGTCGGCACGTTGTAATAGGGCATATCGCTCTCCAGCGGCAGATGGAGTGACAGCCCCTTGACCGATCATTCTGCACACTGGGCTGGCCCATTGTCAAACTCCAAGAGAGATAGATCTTGGGAGGCGCGGAAATGAGTTGGACTAGAATTTGGTGATGAGCAGAGAGGATACCCTCTGAAAACAGCTCCTACCACTTTGAGTGAAGCACATCTGGTGTCTATTCTTCTGACTCCCTGTCACTGTCTCCCTCATCAAATGGCATAAGCCCACCACCACGACCCGTCGTCTCAGCCAATTGCCCCTCCAAGCTCGCGATCTCCGCCTCCATCAGAGCTGGGTCGGCGCAAGTCTTCGCCTTGTCGAAATCAATGAGGACAACCTGCCCATCCTGGCGTATGACGAAGTTATACTTGTTACAGTCCCCATGTACATACCCCAGCGCATGGAAGCGCCGCAAGGCCGCCTCGCAGATCTCCAGATCGGCTGGCTCGGCATCCCGTCCGTCCGGAACTTTCTCCAGAAGGAATCCGATGACCCTGCCTGCCTCGTGGATATGCCCGAGGAATTTGGGAGCGATGCCCCGGCCCTCAAGGACCTGGTACATGCGGGTTTCGGCTTCCATGTATTGGATCTCCCAGTGGAAGCGCGCCATCTTGGCAATCATTCTTTCTGGTGCAGAATCCGCCTTCCATTTGCATTCCTGAGTCAACAGAGCGAGATACTCGGTGCGTTCGATGTCAAGATGGTCGATCATCCGCGGATGCCAGATCGTTTCCACACTGGGCAAATCGGCCGACGACAGCGTCGCGTCCAGTTGACGGGACGAGGGATTGCGAGTGATACACGCTGACTTCCAAGTATCTTCTTGGTAGGGGAGAGGAGGGAGAATATTCTGGAAATCAAGGGGCATGTCATCCAACGACTCGGCGTCGAGGGCCCCGGCCTTGATGGTGATGTACTTGACGCTTCGGTTGGCTAGGATGCGAAAGTAGCAGTCGCTTCTGCCATTCGTGGAGACTTCCATGGAAATCAGACGAGGCGGCTCCATAGTCGACGGCATCTCGATATGAGGACAGTCAATTTCGCTGCAATCAAGTCGAAAGAGAATTTGAAGAATTGAGTGATGGCGGTCAGGAGTTTATCTGCACGTGCCCCGGCGATGCAAACACTTAAGCGCCGACAACGCGACTAGGAGGGCGATCTGAAGCGCGTCTAGGACTTCACCTTCGAGATTCGAAGCATCTTAGGAGGATTCATGTTCGTGGGCGAATATTACACAAACTCCTCAGATGGCAAAAATGAGCAGCATAGATGTTCTTGCGGACGTTGAGAAACATGCTGACGCGATCCTTCGAGTATGTTCGTATCATCAACGAGACTTTGACCTCGTCGTAGTCCATTCGCACCCACATGATATGCACCTCGTTCAGAGGTCTCTTCAGGCAGCTTTCGAGACGTTGCCGACCGCTGAGCTCGGGATCTTGGGTCGTCTACCCGCAGAACTCATGTCCATGGTCCTCCGCGAGCTCGACATTCGTTCTTTCTTCTCCTTCCGTCAAGTCAATCGGTGAGCTCGCGTCCTATCAACCGGACTCTGGGAATATAAACTGGTCTCCAAGCATGGGTTGGAGGGCCTGCAAGGTCTATTGCGCGCCGAGCTTGCTCACTGCTTCACTATCGATGACCTCTATCGGCCTCTCATAACGGATAAATGCACGACCTGTAGGGCTTTTGGAGGGCTCTTGTTCCTCTTCACCGCGGAGAGATGTTGTTTCGATTGCCTCCAGTCTTCGGCCCACTACTGCGTCCTCCCTCCATCTGCTTTTGCCAAACTTGTACATATATCTCCAAGTCGACTCGAGCGCCTATCGGGACCAAGTTTACGGACCGTGCCTGGCATCTATAACATGATGGAAAGGCCAGCGAGACGACCAAAGTATCTGATATTTGAAGAGAAGGCCACACAAACGCTGCTTGCCATCAGGGCCATTAGAGAAGACTCGATTCAAAACTTGAGAAGCCGGAGAGAGCAATCAGACCAACGCTTTATGACAGCTACGGCATATCCGTACTACAGCTTGGAGAATGCCAAACTCGAGCGTGGTGTCAGCTGCAAAGGCTGCCAAGTTCGTCTGGAACTTCTCCACGGTGATTCGGCCGATCGAGATCAAGTTTTTTCGACACGGGGCTTCTTGTCTCATTTCTCACGATGTGTGGAAACACAGCATCTCTGGGCTGAGAGCAAAGGGGGAACGCGAACTGTCAATGAGCCAGAGTTCACTCGCCGCTGTGGCTTTTTCAGCCAGCTAGGTTCTGACGGGCGCCCTGCATAACACTTTAGAACGTGTTCTATCCAGGTTGCCCTCATGACGCACAGAATGTACCTATGCTATACTCTGACCGTACCCACTCGTCCACTGGTACAAAGGCACCCTTGGGCTGTTGTTAGCCCGCAATGGACGGCCGCTCCGTCGCCGCAAGCGGGCCGGCGACGCAATCTCATAATATATGCTTCGCTTTGTACAATATTGTACAACTTATCTTGTAACGAGCTGCCGAATGTTCTCTCTAGGTCCCGGACTTTTTGACCTCTTGACCATAGTTCAGCCTGTAGCTGATGAGTCAACTCGTCTGGATGTCTGTATGCGTAAGTTTATAGGGCCGGATGTGCAAGCTATCCTTAGAGAACGCCACACCTACTCAATAACAGACACAACCAAATTATAATAATACACAGTCCCTTAGCGATGAGCAATCCATCCTGCAAGCCACGACAATATACCTTGAGGCCACTGCCGAGAGGTCGTTTCGAATGCGTACAAAATGGCCTGTCCTCCTGCTCTCTCGAGTCCGTCTCTCGCACTCATCCACATCAAGACTCTCGAGCACATCCTTCATCAAGACTCCCAAACCTATTCTCTATCAAACAACCCGACACATCTGTGCGCGCACACATTCACGCAAAACCAACCTACACGCCCAAGGCTGAAGAGATGCCGACCTTCCTCATTCCCATGGTACCCAATCATATCTATATTTTTTTTTTAAAAAAAATAAGTAACTCTTAATCTATCTATTAAATATAAGTTGATTTATATAATGAACATAATATACTTAAAAGAGATATTATAAATATAATATCTATTAGGCGGCTTTAGGGATGGAGGTGTGGCCGAGAAGTGGGTTAAGCCACAACTAGTAGTTTACTTCTCTAAAGATCAAAGCCCTTAGAATAAGTCCACAAAGATCTCAATTGGCGGTAAACCATTCTACAATCCTACCTAGGTACTCACTAGCAAGCTGTAGTGTCGGAAATGATATTGATTTCCCTTCCCGCCGTTTGTGGTTTGACAGCCTTGACAGCCTTGACAGCCTTGACAGTTGAAGAAACCCCAACAATATCGCGGTGCCATGTCGATGGAGTGTCTGTCACTCACACCTTATTACAAGTACAAGTACTTTGGTCGGGAGTGCGACGCTAAAACGCCCCCTGTCACACGCGCCACCCTAGCGTCCTCCCAGCCGCTAGTTTTCCAGGAACCCAAGATCAACCCCACTAGAATTTAAGAGACAGCCCTGGTGCCTCATCAGCTTGTGATTCTGCCCCTCACCAGCACAGCTCAACGCTCCATTCTTTTGCATTGTTCCGAGCACGGGAAAGGAACCGCACGTTTCTGGACACGGAACGGAGCAGATGCGGGTAGAGTCTGCTGTAGTAGCGCCATGAGTTTCGCTATCGAGGTGCCGGGCGAGACCGTGCCCTTGAACTTTCAGGATCTTTGCCGGGCGCTCCAGGCTGGGACCTCTACCGACCACAACCAGAGGCAGTCTGCCGGCACTCAGCTCACAGAGTGGGAAGCCCACGAGGACTTCTTCCCGTCCCTTCAGGTACGCTAGGATCTCATATGCGACCAGACCGTCGTCTCAGGATGGTGAAGGTCCGGCTAACATGACCTCTTCCATCTACCTAGACCGTCTACCTCGACAAGACGCTCCCTCACGATATCCGATTCCTCGCCATCATCCTTTTCAAGAATGGCGTAGACAAGTATTGGCGCTTTTCCGCGTCAAGGAATACCATCAAACGAGATCGCAAGGCCTTGATCAGGTCACGACTGTTCCAAGGGACCATCGACGAGGAGGACAAGCCTCTAGCCGCTCTCAATACCGTTGCAGCGGCCAAGATTGTCCGCATCGACTACCCGCAGGAGTGGCCCGATGCCCTCAGTACCATCATTGAGCTTCTCCGGGCCTCGAGGTCCAGCAACCCCGCCCATCTCTACGGCGCGCTCCTGATCCTGCTCCGCGTGGTCAAGGAGCTCAGCGCGGCCCGGCTGCGCAGGTCCCAGACTGCGCTGCAGGCCGTCACACCAGAGATAGTGCAGCTTCTTGGCGAAATATACTCGGCAAACACGGCCTCATGGTTGGAGTTCTTGACATCCGGCAGAGGAGATGAGGATGCTGCCGACTATGCCATGCAGAACAGCTTGGCAGCCCTCAAGACACTGAGGCGACTTATGACGTCGGGTTACGAATATCCTCACAACTCCGACCTGGTACGGGAAGTATGGGGGCTCTCACAGTCACAGTTTGCCCAGTTCCTGGGCTTCATTAGCCATGATTCGAGGATACCAGCACCGTACCAGGACGTCGTCGGCAAGCACCTGCTCCAGTTCACCAAGCTGCACATCGAGATGTGTGAAGGTCACCCTGCGAGCTTCGCCAATCTGCCAAACAGTCTGCCTCTTGTCCATGCGTACTGGGAGCTGGTAGTCAACTTTGCCGACGTCTTTGACAAGTCCGGGGGCATCAGGCAGAGCGCTGGCGACAACCCGGAAGGCAAGTCCAAGCTCGAGGGCCCACTCCTCGAGAGGCTGGCACTGAAGGGATTGCTCCTCATCCGAGCTTGCATAGCTATGGTCTTCAAGCCTCAGTTCACCTTCAAGTATCGCAGCCAAGAGGTCAAGAAGGAGCAGGAGCAGGCCTCCCACCTCGTCAAGACGGAACTGCTCACCAACGACTTTGTGCTGCAGGTTGTCAATGTCATCATCACGAAGCTGTTCATCTTTAGGCAGTCGGATCTAGAGGCATGGGAGGAGTCGCCGGAGGAATGGGAGTCGCAAGAGCGAGATGCCGGCGAGGCATGGCAGTGGCAAGTACGCCCCTGCGCCGAGAGGGTGTTCTTGGACCTGCTCATACACTACAAGGATATCTTGGGACCACCGCTGTTGTCCTATTTCCAGACAGCGATGCAGTCCGGGTCCGAGATTGTCCTGAAGGAGGCGGTGTACACAGCCATGGGCAGCGCGGCAAGCACCATACACACATCCTTTGACTTTAGCAGCTTTGTCGAGTCGACTATTGTCGGAGACGTGCAGCAGCAAGGGCCGCTGGCAAAGGTCCTTCGACGCCGCATTGCCATTCTTCTGAGTCAGTGGGTGCCGGTCCATATCGAGGACCGCATTCGTCCCATCGTGTTCGACATCTTCCGCCACTTCATGAGCTCAGAGGATGCTGCAAACGACGAGGTTGTCAGGATCACGGCTGCCAGACAGTTCAAAGCCGTGGTAGACGCATACGAGTTCAGCTCGGACCTCTTCATGCCCTACGCTTCTGACATCCTGTCTCGGCTGATCACCATCCTTCGCGAGGTAGAGGTTGACGAGACCCGCTTGGCTATTCTAGAATCGACGCGAGCTTGCGTCAGTCGCATGGACAAGAACATTGCTCAGGTCAGTGATCAGCTGATGGCGTCACTGCCTGCCATGTGGAATGTCGCTGGAGAGGACAACTACATGATCAAACAGTCTGTTCTAGGGCTGCTTTCCAACATAATTATGGCGCTGGGCGCTGACTCGCAGCGCTACCATCACTCGGTACTCCCTCTCATCGACCAGGCCTTGGATACCAGCTCGGCGATACACCAGTTCCTTTTGGAGGACGCAGTGGACGTGTGGCGGTCTGTTATGACTATGGCTCCAACGCCACTCTCTCCCGAGCTGTGCCAGCTGGAACCGCGAATCCACGCCTTCTGCGAATATGACTCGGGCGTTTCCGAAGGTGCGGTCGAGATCATCAAGCGGTATATCATGGGTGGACAGCAAAGCGTCATCGCAGACCTGCGCATCATGCTACCTACACTGGCTGCGCTTGTCAAAGCCGTGGATTCGAAGCATCGAGAGCAGGTTAGTTCTGCGTCCAAGTGCCTCGAGTACATGATCCGCGTGGCACAGGACTATGGCGGAGTAGATGGCCTCCGACTCGCAGTCAGCACCCTCCACAGCCTGGGCTTCCTGTCGCGCATGTTCCAGGAGCTGCACGAGGCCTGGGAGGCCCGCCAGACTACGGGTCCCAAGGCGAGGCCGAGCCGGCTCGACACGATGAAGAAGACGCAATACTTCAACATCTTGGCCCGGATCGCCTACGGCGACCCGGGCTACTTTGCCGAGGTGCTGGCGTCGATCGGGGGCGGAGGAGGAGACCTGGCGCAGATGTGGAAGTGGCTGGTGGACGAGTGGTTCGAGTCGTCGGGCAACATGGCGGACCTGGAGCCGCAGAAGATGTCGTGCCTGGCGCTGACGCGCATGACGGAGCTGCCGGAGCCCGTGCAGTCGCTGACGCAGTCGCGGCTGCAGGACTACCTGACCATGTGGACGACCATCGCGGCCGACGTGCACGAGGGCGACCTCGGCGGCCCGGACGCGCTGGTGTGGGTCGACGTCCAGCCGGACGAGTGGGACTCGCCCGCCAGCGCGGCCGAGAAGGAGTTCCTGGCGCGGGACCCCGTGCACCGGGAGGCGACGTTCCCGTTTGTGCAGGCGCGGCTGCAGGCGCTGGTCGAGAGGGCGGGCGGGCAGGCGCGGTTCGCGGAGGAGTGGCTGGTCAATGTGGACAAGGAGGTCGTTGCCGAGTTTGAGGCGCTGGTGCAGGGCCGGGCGAAGGAGTCGTAGGGAGTGGCGACGGCCCGGCTGAGGCTCAGGAAGGACGACGTGAGGAGATTGCGGTGAGATAGAAAAGGGGATTCCCGTATGGTTGGATTGGGGTGTGTGTGTGTGTGTGTGTGTGTGTGTGTGTGGGCATAGGCGGGAACGCAGAGAGTCTTCACTTAGAACATACCCCTTGGCTTCTTGTCTTGTGAAACGAAGAATGAGTAAAGTAGATAATGAATTATTCTCAACATGAATTGTGTTCACTATGGTTTTGAGCTCCGGGAATCCTACATCCAGTCCAGTGTTTTGAGTCCCACGAGCGACATATTCAGGATACACCTCTATCAACTTTGCCATATGCAACTGTACACACACGCACACACACACACACACACACATCTTTCACAGCTTGCTCCCACCCTCCTGCGGGATCTTGACCACCACCTTGCCCCACGTCTCGCGCCCTCCGAGCGCAACCAGCGCCTCGCTCACCGAGTCCAGCCCGACGAACTCGCGGTCGGTGAACTCGGTGCCGCGGTACTTGCCCGCCCTGACGAGCCGCAGGATGCCCTCCCACACGCCCGGGATGGCCTGCGGCTCGTTCTTGACGTAGGCGCCCCAGTGCAGGCCCACGAGCGAGATGTTCTTGAGCAGGACCTTGTTCATGGCCACCTTTTCGATGCTGCCCGCCGCGAAGCCGACGACGACGATGCGCCCGTTCCAGGCCGTGCACTTTGTGCTCAGGTCCACGGCGCCGACGGGGTCGAACACGACGTCTACCCCCCTTCCGCCGGGCGTCAGGGCGCGCACCTCGGCGGGCCAGGTCTTGGGGTCGGCGTAGGAGACGGCGTGGTCGGCGCCGAAGGACCGCGCCACGGCGCGCTTGTGCTCCGTCGAGGCGGTCGCGATGACGGTCGCGCCGAGCGCCTTGGCGACCTGCACGGCCGCGAGGCCGACGCCGCCGGCCGCGGCGTGCACGAGGACCGTCTCGCCGGGCCGCACGCTGGCGCGCAGCGTCAGCGCCGCGAAGGCCGTGGGCGCCGTGACGAAGAGCCCCGCGGCCTGGGCGAAGGTCCACCCCTCGGGCACGGGGAGCAGGCTGGCCTCGCCGCAGGCGAGGTGCGTGGCGTAGGCGCCCTGGGCGGCGCCGAAGACGCGCGCGCCGACGGGGAACTTGGGGGCCGTCGTGGCGCCCTTGGGCGTGGAGAGGACGACGCCGCCGAATTCCATGCCTGCTGTCCAGGGGAATGCTGAGGATTGGGGCGGGAGGGTTTTGGTTAGATGGCGGAGGTTTACGGAGGATGAGGGAGGGCAGGGAGGAGAGGAGACGGGAGCTTACGAGGCTGGGTCTGGTATTTGCCTTGGACCTGGAGGATGTCAAAGAAGTTTGTGGCCGCGGCGTGGACCTCGATGAGGTACTCGTCCGGGCCCGGGGTCGGGTCCGGGATGGAGGTGACGGTGAGGTCTTGGGGCCCCTTTATTTTCGGTTGGAAAGGGAGCGTCAGTGAGATGCCGCGGGAGCTGGACAGGGGAAGGAGACAAAGTTTCAGCTGACCTTGAGGTACTGAGTTATTCTGATGCCTTTCATCGTGAGAGCTGAGTCGTCGTCCTTTAGACTGGGATGTGAGATTGGATGTGGCGGAGACTGCGGCAATCACTGAGAATGACTTGTGTATCTTAGAGTGGAATGATACAAGAGGAGGGTAGAATGCCTCGAAACGAATTGAGTAGATGATGGCTATGAAATGCTGTCATGGGAAAGCTGACAAAAAGGATGGATATTGAGGATATGTAAGTGCTGTTGCAGCTCGAGGCGGGTCTAGCCAGTACCGGCCACGCCAATGCGGAGTGAGGAGCTGCGATCTGCGGGGGAGCCGAGGCATCGCACGTGAGGCTGCCAAGCTACGAGAGACTAAAGAGCCACGGTCGGCTTACCATTTTACGACTGCCGGGACGCCGAGCGCGGTGAGTTTGAGCATTGCCCGGAGAGTTTATTTTGGTTTTGTTTAAAGAGACTCTTCCTTTGAACGACTTATTTCCATGTACAAGCAGCAGTTAAAAAGAGAAAGACGCTATGCTTTTGTATGCTACAGTGTATCAACATGTGAATTACAAATGTCTAACAAATGAATCCTTCAATGTGGCCGTCTTTTTCCACTCCACTAGCACTCGTGTGGAGAAGAGCGGGTATCCTGCTACAATAGGAAGCTTCTCCTCCCGAGGCTCTGTGATCTCTCTGATCTCTATCCTGCTTCACACACACACATCTAACACCACCCCCACAGGTCATGTCCAACACACTCCATCTCACCGCTACAGCGCGATGACGGCGCACGCGCTCTCGGCCGCCCCGGGCAGGTTCTTGCCCATGCGGTCCTTGAGGAAGCAGCTGGCCTGCGAGTGCGCGTAGATGGACGTGATGTTGGAGTTGTACGTGACGCCCGCGCACTTGGCCTGGCTGTCGGAGCGCCGGCTGTTGAACGACAGGCAGTACTCCATGCAGTCCTCGAACGTGTAGACGAGCGTCTTGCCGATGTCCTTGACCTTGTCGGGCCCGCCGTCGGCCGCGGCGTCGCCGTCGGGCCAGTCGGTGAAGCAGTAGGCCGTGAACTTGGTGCCGTCCTTGGTGTGGTAGGTCGAGGGCGTGGTCGACTGGCAGCTGTTGTCGGCGATGCCCGTGGTGCCCGTCTTGACGGGCACGAAGGACGATGTCGTCGACGACGAGGAGGACGACGACGTCGACGAGGACGATTTCGTGGGCGCGGGAGGGGTCGTCTGGGCGCCTGCCGTGCTTGCGCCTCTGTTTTTGGCAAGGGTTTGTCAGCCACGGACATAGCCAATCTTTGCCGTGCATTCTCGTGACGATCGGAGACCGGAGACAATACTTACGTTCCTGAGGCCGCCGGAGCAGACTGTGTGTTGTTGCTCTTCTGCAGGCCCACGCCCAGACCTGCACCCAGCGCCACGCCGAGGACGACGAGGATCACTCCTCCCACTATCACCCAGAACACGGGGACCGGCAGGCCCAGTATCCTCTTCTTCTCTGACTCTGGCGGTATCACCGACGGCGGCGGCTGCCACTGGCCTGGCTGTTGTTGTTGTTGTTGTTGTTGTTGCTGGTGGTAGTCCTGAGTATAGCCACCTTGTGAATGGTCCGGGGTGTGTCCGCCCTGGGGGTACTCTGCCGTCTGGCTCCCGGGCGCGTAGTGCTCGTAGTACTTTTGCGGCTGCTGCTGGACGACCTCGAGGCCGCCAGCCGAGGCGGGAATGGCCTCGGCGCCGTAGCTATTTTGCAGATTGCCGTTCTGGTAAGACATCTTTTGCTGTTCCCGCAGAGGATCGACCAACTATGTAAAGGCTAGAGGTCCGTCGGCAAGCCGTGATTCCAGGCCGACACCCAAGGGACGTGAAGCTCCTCGGCTGGGAGGAAGGAAGCGACACACAAGGTCACGCAGGAACGCGAGATGGTGATACTGGATCACGGGGAGAGAAAGAGACGGGCCACGAGAGGAGGAGAATAAGCAAATGGGCCGTCCGTCCCATAATAGTAATCTGGTTGATCTACCGACATTGGATACCTACTCCGTACACACTTTTCCCAATGCATGCTCCCTGCCGTAATCATGCTGCCACCACACCCATGCTACTCCCTCCAGACACCAGGCGCGGTTCGAGCCCTCGTACACTAGCACGAGATCGTTTGGACATGGGCCCACTGACAGTTGGTTGTGTTCTTTTCGAGTGAGAGAGACTGCTGCGCATCCAGGCCGTTTTGCCGGCTCAGCCCCCTTCTGTGCCGCCGACAAGCGCGCCATGTGCAGAGAGAATACCCCGGGATGAGCAGGGTATTTGGAAGCATTTGGGGCCCAGGTTTGACAAGCCCATCTCCCATGGACGCCTGTCCCCCAGAACAGGAGACAAGACCGACGGAGAGAGACGGGAATCGAGTCTGAATGATGATCGTCGATCCTCTGTCCACAGGTACCTACCTACCGTTCTCCCAATGGCAGCCCTATCAGCGAGAGTCTCGACGGGTGAAAGGGGGCGCGGACAGGGGCCTGTTCTCCCATCCAGTCAGTCCGTCCTGATCGTGTAACCAGAGGAGGCCTGTCCTCGCCCGTCCTGATCCCGGTCAAGCGTCGTCTTGGTCGTCTCATTCGCCAGTGCGCATGAAATCCACTGTAAGCACTACCCGAATTTGCCCAAGACATGGACATTGAGGCCAAGTCTGGAAGGATCAGCGCCGCGCCGTTGGCCAGGTCGCTCGGGATGGGGGCCACTGTTGCCAGAAACCACGCTGTGGTGGCTTTGCATCCAGCTGCAGGCAAGCATTCAGATTGTTAGAAGTCGGGATATGGGCCCAGAGCCTTGAAGCCTGATGTACGGAGTAACTACCTTAAGTAGGTAGCCACGAGAGGTACACTGCTCAGTTTAAACGGCGGTTAGAGAGTGAAGGCTAAGTTTTAGCGGCTCGATTTAGCGACCACACAAGGCATCCCCACTGCTGGCGTCCATTGGCCAATGGGAGACCCCACAAGGGTTTTCCCAGCCAAAATGTTCCCATCATGACAATCTCGCGTGAGCTTCTGAGCAGCTAGGAAATCAACGACGACGACCTCTGTCCCATCCTGCAGCGAGGTCCTCGACCACCACCAGCCAGAACCATGCACCGACCTGCCCTCCGCGCCCTCCTGGGCAGGAGGCCAGAGCTCCTCAGAGCAACCACGGGCCAGGCGTCATGCCAGACCGCGGGTCGCCGCCTCTCCACGACCGCCTCCCTACGGGCCGACGAGCACACCACCGGCGGTCCCACACCCGCGAAGCCGACGTCGAGGCAACGCTCCGCCGCCGCGGCCTCCCAGCTCGGCGCCCTGGGCAACAGCGGCAAGCCCGACGCGCCCGCTGCCTCTGCCGGCGTCGATGCACGCTCCCTCGGCGGCACCGGCGGCCTGACCGCGACCAACAAGATCATCAATGTCCGCAGCCTACCCCGCCCGCGCGGCGGCAACGGCAACGGCAACGGCAACAGGAACCCCCCCGGGCCCAGCGGCGTCTCCTCTCCCGGCGGCCGCTTCGTCACGCAGCAGCCGGGCGGCCCCAACGCCATCTCCGCCCAGCGCCCAGGAGCCCGCGGCGGCCCCGGCGGGCGTGCCCGAGCAGGAGCAGGAGCAGGAGCAGGAAGAGGCGGGCCAGGAGGCCGCAGGCCTGGCGGTGGCCCCGGCGGCGCGGCCCGCGGCAGGCGCCCGCGCAGGAAGAGAGACGACGGCCCCGGCGGGCGCGACTCCAAGGCCGGCGGCGGCAAGCTCGTCTTCACGGCCGAGGAGCAGAAGTGGCTCGACGGCGTGCAGCAGGGGGTCGCGGCGCCCTACACGCCCTCCCTGACGCTCGAGTCGCTCGTCGGCCACGGGCCCGCCACCGCCAGCGCCGCCGCCGCGCCGCTGTCGCAGCTCGAGACGGCCCTGCGCGGCATGCGCCTCGTCGCCGGCGGCGAGGCCTTCTCCGCCGACGTGCGCAACCCGGCGCAGACGCAGGCCCGCCTCGCCGAGCAGGCCGAGAGCCAGCGGCCCGTCTTCTTCCACGACGCGGCCGAGCGCGCCGCCTTTGGCAAGGACCTGCTCAGGGACAAGCCGAGCGAGGGCGTGCAGAAGGCCATCCTGCAGAACATGTTTGCCGGCACATACGCGCAGCCCCAGTTCGCGGCCGCGGCGACCGACACGCTGGCCACGGCGCGCAACTACCACGACAGGGACTGCACGTACCAGCCCGAGGACAGCAAGGCGTTTGAGGACAAGGTACGGTCCCTGCTGCCCAAGCAACAGCCTGCTGCTGCTGCTGCTGCTGCTGCTGCTGCTGGCAAGAGCAAGGGAAAGGGAAAGAATGCGTAGGCATCGCCGTCAAGAGCTTTGTAGCATAATCCCCTATAGCGGACGAGGGAACACATGTATCATGTACTAGTGTATTATATAGACACACCAAACGGAACTATGTGGCAAATACATGCCGCATGTACTACAAGATCAAAAATGAGACATCTTTTTATACAAGCTACCTATTTTTTACAACCTCGCCTTCCGTACCCGTCTATCTTCCCTCAGGGCGGGGGGTGGCTTTCTAGAAGCTCCTCTGGCTATTGCTGACCTGCTTCAGCGCCTCCTTCTCCGTCCGGTCGATCGCCTCCATCTTCTTGTCCTGCAGCTTCTGCAGCTCCTTGTCCAGGCGGTGCACGTCGTCCGGGGTGGCGCTCTTGTCCTTCTTCCACGCCTGGTGCATCTTGTGCCTCTTCTGGCCCGCCAGGCGCACCTGCTCCCGCCACTCGCGGCACACCTCCTTGACGCGCTTGACCTGCGCGTCCGCCGGCTCGGGCTGGATGCGCAGCAGCAGCACGAGCTCGTTGTCCGGGTCCGCCTGCGGCTGCTGGTTGAAGTCCGGGCTCGCCTGCACGGCGCTCATGACCGACTTCTTCGAGCTCGCCTCGTGCAGCCGGATCTCGATCGTGCGGCCGCCCTGCGGCACCACCATGGCCAGCTGGTCCAGCGGCACCACCGTCCCGCCCGCCGGCGGTGCTGCCGCCGCCGCATCCTTCTTGCCGCCGCCGCCCTTGTGGGGGCTCGCGACGGGCTGGTCGTCGTGGTGGTGGTGCGCCATGCGCACGGGCAGCTTGCCGATGACGTCCGGGTTGAAGCGCCCGCCCGCGCGCAGCTGCTTCAGCTTGTCGGCGTGGAACCGGTCGGTGCGCCCCCACGCCTCCTCCAGCGCGTCAAAGTTGTAGTCCGCCGTGGCGGCCGCCGCCGCCGCGGCGCCGCCCTTGGCCTTGGCCTTGGGGTCCGACCTGACGGCCGACACGGCGTCGTCGCGGTGGGCCGGGTCTACGGTGCCGCCCGAGTGCAGCTTGGACTTGTTCTTCTTCGCTGCGGCTAGGCTGGTGCCTGAGAAGGGCCGCCGGTGGATCGTGGACGGGGAAGGCGCTGCTGCTGCTGTGGAGGAGGCATGCTGGGCGTAGGCTTGCCAGAGGGCGGCTTGGGGAGAGGAGGTCGAGGTTTGACTGCGTGTGGTACGAGGTTAGAACCTGGTCGTAGCTTGCCAATTGGTGCATGGGAAGCTCCTTACAGAGTGGTGATTCTCGTTACGCCAGAGTTGGCCCTGCGCAGCAGGTTCTGGCCCGTCCGCAAGCTCGCCATTCTGGTCTGTCGTGTGGTGTCGTTTGTTGGTGGTGATGTGGGAAAGCACGGAGCTCCAGCTCAGCTCCACCGAAAAGACAGAAGCTGTTACAGCGTTTTAGCGGACCCTGGCACTCACTGCACGAGACACCTTGCCAAGCTCAGCATCAGATCATCCAATCCTGAGCACTCGTGTTGATGCAAGAAGAACAACTTGAACTGTTCTCCCAAGAGAGAGAGAAGTCGGGCGGAATCGCAAAAATATATCACAAACAGAGCAGGGCAAAAAGAAAATCATGAATAGTCTTTGATCGCGGTCGGGATCGAACCGACGATCTTCTGCGTGGATATTGTAAAGCAGACGCACTAACCACTATGCTACGCGACCAGTATGATGATGAATTTGGCTGAAATTTGGGCTTATGTAGCTACTGTCAATTTCCGCCCTTTCCTCTTCCTTTCCAGATCGCACAAGCCCAGCCCAGTAAAGAACTATCATCCAGCGGAATCGAGAGGACATCTATGCCAGATATATGAACGTCTACATATCATCTCGGGGTATAAATCTATGTTCCATAATGCAGGCCGTCCCTCCAAACTAGTCAGACCTCATCCTGCCCGCAACGCGCCTTGCCCAACCCCCCAAGTCTCCATCCCAACGCCGACGACAACAAGAGGCCCCTCGGGACCCAGCATCTCCATAGCCCCCGGGTCAGCCACGGAGCTGTACGAGTTGTCCAGTAACTGTATCTTGCCCACCCGCCGTCCTGTCCCGGCCTCTTCTTCACCCCCCGGCGGCGCAGTCGTCAACAACCGCCACGTCTTGATCCGCTGGTCATTGCTGCCCGTCACAAACACCACAACACCGGCTTGCTCGTCGTGCCGCACGACCCGCAGCGCGTTGATCGCGGCGGCGTGCGCCTTGCTGACCCGATGCCCGGGCCCGAAAGTGTACGCCGCGACTGCGCCGGCAGCGGTGGGGAGGAGATGCGTGACGCCCAGCGCATTGTCGTCGCTCCCCGTGATGACGAGCCAGCCGGCGGCCGCCGCCGCCGCTCCGGTAGACAGGGGCACCAGGTCCAGCGCCTTGACGCTGTTCTGGTGCAGCCGGGCCGCGGCCTGCAATGTGTAGTCCTCATACTCTGCTTCGCCGCCACTGCCAGGATGTCGTCGGTCGGCCTTCCACGCCGTGACGTGCCCGTCCGTAAACGTGACCAAGACAGCGAGACCCCGTCCCCCTCGCACGTCAACGTCCAGGTGCCGCACCTCCGTCGGACAGGCACCCGTGTACCTTCCCTGCGCCAGGAGGCGCCACCCGTCAGCCCTGGCGTAGCGGTACGTCTTGACAGCCGAGTTCGAAAACGCCATCGACACCACCATCCCATCTTCCTCCTCCACGCCGTCCCCGCCCAGGGGCTCCGCGTCGATGCTCATGATCCGCAGGTCCTTGTCCCTGCTCTTGTCGGGGAACTGGGACTCGCACGCCACCGCCAGCCCCTCGTACGCCGAGTCGAGCCGCGACACCCTCCACACGTACAGGTCCTCGAACCCGCCCGCGCTGAGCAGGTACCCGTCCCCGACCCACGCGAGCGCCGGGATCCCCGTCCGGTGCGGGTTCAGCACGGCCACGCACCGCAGGCCGCCGCCGCCGCCGCCCCCGGGCCCCGACGCCGCCCGCCTCCTCCAGACGCGCAGTATCGTGTCCTCGCCTCCCGTGGCGACGTACCCGCCGCCCCCCCGCGCAGCGCACACGGACCGCACCTCCCTGCCGTGCCCGCCGGCCCTGACCGTCCGGTGCGTCGCCCCGCGCTGCGAGTACACGTTGAGCGTCGACGTCTTGGTGTACGCGAAGCGCAGGAGGAGGCCCCCCGCCGCCGCGGCGTCTGCTGCGCCGCCGGATGATGATGTCACGTACGCGAACTTGCGGTTCGCGCCGCCGCAGCCGACGGCCGCCACGTCCTCCTGCCGCGTCTCGTTCCACGCCACGAAGCTGGTGCCCCTGAAGCCCAGGACGACCAGCTCGTTGTTGTTGTCGTCGTCGTCCCCGGCGAACACCGCGCCAGCCTGCACGGGGCCCATGGTCGGGGGGGACGACTCGTGCACCAGCCGCAGGGCGGCCGCGGCGGGCTCCCGGTCGATGGCGTAGATGCGGTAGGCGCCGTCGCGACAGGTGGCGAGGATGTTCGAGGCGGGCGCGCCGTCGCGGCCCGGGAGCGGGGTGAGGCTGGTCACTGCGTCTTTGACTTGCAGCTTGGTCCACGCCACGCACATGTACTGGTCGTCCTGCTTCGCGTAGAGGTGGATAGTGCCTCTGCGAGTTCCCACAATGAGAAACCCTCGGCAAACGGCGGCAGAGGTTATGAGTAGTCCTTCGCCGCGGCCGACGTCCCACTGCGCGACGGACTTGTCCGGTCCGGGGATCGACGTGTCGACCGTGACCAACTTGCCGCCCTCGGGCGCCATGGACGGGACCAGAAGCTGCACGTGCGTCGTGGGAACGTCGTCCAGCCTGCCGTGAGGAATGAAGAGTATACCGGGGATCTTCCTGCCAACCTGAAAAGCCTCAGAGACGTGCCCTTGTCTGTCGTAATAATGCACGCGGCCGCTCCCGCTGCCGATCCACGCCGTCCCGTCCTTGGCGCTGCTGATGACGGAATAACCAACCATGTCGTAGCCGGTGCTGTCGTCGAGCCGTACCGTAGACCACTCAATGTCCCCCGCGGGCCGGAAGACGCCGAGGAACAGCCTGCCAAGCGACGTCGATGCCAGGATGCGGTCCGCAGAGATGAACTCGAAGCTGTGCAGCAGCTCCTTGTCCAGCTTCTTGCCCGCCCGCGCGGCGCGCTCGGCCAACGCCCTGTGTTCCGCGTCCCGGCCCTCCTCCTCGCCGGCGGCCGCGATAATAGCAGCGTCTATACCCGGCACCGTCAGGGCGACCGTCTGGCCGTCCCGGATCTCGTTCTCCTTTTCGGGGCTGGTATCCCCGATGAGCACAATCTTCCAGTCCGACCCGCCCGTCGCGACGAGCGCGTCCCTCCCTTCTCTGTCCAGCACGTCCCTCGCCCAGATATGCTTGCCGGCATGGTACCCCATCGTCCGGACGTGCGTCAGCGTCCCGCAGCCCCACCCTCCCTCGGCGCCCGGCACGTCCAGCCTCCACTCCTGCGTCGTGGCGTCCTCGCCAAAGGAGTACACAGCTACACCACCACCCGCCTTCTCCCCGCCGCCCCGGCAGGCGAACCGCACCCCCCAGATCCTCGAGTCGTGGCCCATGGCCACGGCGAGCGGCCTCTCGGCCAGCTCCATCGCCGCCGCGACCTCGGGCTCGCTCGCGAAGCCCGTCTCCCGCGCCTCGCCGCCCACCCGGCGGCGGATCTCCGCGGCCCGGGCCCCGATCGCCTCCCGCAGCGGCCCGCCGCCGCCCGTCGCCAGGTCCCACACGCGTATCGTCCTGTCGTCGCTGCAGGTCGCGAGCAGGCGCCGCCTGTGGCCTCCGGGCCCCACCGCCTCGATCTCGGGCGAGATGTGCACGCCGAAGATGGACCCCTCGTGGCCCGAGAAGACGTGCAGGACCTCCGCGGCCGTGGCCGTGGCGGCCTGCTGGCCAGACGAGGAGGGGCCGGCGACGTCGCACGACCAGACGACGACCTCGCCAAACACCGTCCCGCCCGCGACCAGGACGCTCGCGCCCGACGTCCACGTCACGTAGGCAGAGTAGAGTATCGGCCTCGACGGCGACACCAGCGGGCCCATGGCCAGCGACGAGCCGGAGCCGGAGCCGGAGCCGCCCGCCACCACGGCGAAGGGCACCACCTCGTTGTGCGCCGTGACCAGCACGCCCCTCCCGCCGTCGGCGGGACACAGCGCCCCGTCGTAGACCAGGTCCGGCGCGCGGCCCCGCGCCCTCACGGCGACGGCGGCGGCGACCTCCTCGTCCGCTGCACTCGCGCCCCCTCCTTCCTCCTCACCGCCGCCACGGATCGCCCTCTCCAGCGCCCCGCGCGACAGGACGGCGACGCAGCTCGCGCCCCAGACCAGCACGTCGCCGCCGCCGTCGACACGCACCCCGTGCACGGCCTGGTCCTCGAAGACGGCGCATCTCGCGCGGGCCCGTGGCGGCGGTGACGTCGGCTGCTGCTGCTGCTGCTCCTGGGCGTCGTAGACGACGAGGTCGGTGTCCTCGCCGGCGACGAGGTAGAGCCTGCTGGCCCCGTCCTCGGACCGGGAGGCTGTGAAGAAGGCGAGGGCCGTGACGGGGCAGAGGACGTGGTCCCGCGTCAGGAGGGACGACGTCCTTTGCCTGCCCGTTGGCTCTGCCGCCATACTTTTTCGGCTTTTTTATGTTTTTTTTCCCTCTTCTCTTCCTCGCCTGGCTCGTCACGTTTTCCCGTGTAAGTAGTTGACGAGGAATGTGAAAGTTGTGTAAGTGGGTGTGGCTGTGGTGGAGGGGGGGCACGCGATAAGATAATTTTTTTTTCTTCGTTCTCGTCCCCTTGGTCAACCTACAAGTTCCATCCGCTTTTCAGACCGTACGAGTTGTCGTTCTCTTGAGCAGGAACACCGAACCAAGCTCGACACGAGAATTGATCGGTATCTCATTCTCGTAGCATCTTGTCCGTCGAGGTTTCATAAGCTTGATCCGTCGAGGTTTTTCAGCACACGTGATAAGACAATACCAGTGGATACCAGAGCGAGGCCGCGATGCACAGGTACCATGAACAATTTCTTAAGGAATATACATCTTGAATCTAGCATAGTCATCTCATGACCATGACAAGGCTCCTATCTATATTATATATAGATCTAGAGAAAAAAACGTTGATCCGCAGAGTCATCATCTGCCTCGTAAGAATGGGCGCCACAAGAGGCACGCCCGCCAAGTCCGCATGATTCCATTACCCATCACTTCACACATTCTCAGTGTGAAACCTGCCTCAGTACTAATGAAATGGGAAAAAAAAACCCATCTAAAGTCCGGAAAAAACGCCCGCGAATGCTCGATCGGAGTTCATAAAAGCAGAAGTTGTGTCATATCTTTGGTTTCATCTTCATACTGGTCGCCCTGACCTGTGGTCTTTTAAAAATGCAAACCGGAACTTTCTCTCACAATCCCAGCTCAGTAGCGCGAGTGCGAGTAAGGCTCGTAGGCGAGGTCGGTGCGGCCGCCGCTGGGATACCTCGCCTGGGGCGCGTAGGCGCTCTGGCGGTTGTAGAAGCCGTTGTTGTGCTGGTCGTTGAGCGGATGGTACTGGCCGTTGGCGCCGCCGCCCATCAGCTTCTCGCCGTCGTCGGCGGCGTCGCGGTGGCGCACGCCGCGGCTCTTGCGGCTCGAGTGGTCGGGCTTGCAGCAGCAGATGGTGAACATCCAGAAGAGCCCCGCGGCGAGGGCGAAGGCGGCGGCGATCCAGACGGCGGCGAGGAAGCGGCTGTTGAGGGCGGCCTGCACGCCGTAGACCTTGGCCGAGGCCTTGACGGCGCCGACGACGACGAGCGAGACGCCCGTGGCCATGCCGGCGGCGGCGATGACGGCGACGGTCGCGAAGCCGGCAAAGACCCAGGTGCAGCACGAGATGGCGCGCGAGCAGTTGGCGAAGACGCCCATGAGCAGCTCGACGCCGAGGGCGACGTAGGCGATGATGAAGACGACCTCGGTCCACTTGATCATGTTGGTGAAGAGGCTGACGGCGTCCTTGATCTCCTTGGGCAGCTGGACCTTCTGGCCCGACAGGGTCATGAGGGCCTCGACGTTGGAGGTCGACTTGTTGAGCGAGTCCTGGGCCCAGTTGAACTTGGCCTTTGTGCACTGCGTCTTGCCCTCGGCGTCCTTGTAGCAGTAGTTCCAGACGTTGATCTGGTACCTCTCGGCGAGGGAGAGGTCCGGGTAGGTGATGTTGTTGGTCAGGGCCGGGGCGCTGCTGGCGTCCACGTTGGCGGTGGCCGACTCGAACAGGTCGGCCACATGGCGCTTGTTGGTCACCTTGTCCACCAGACTCGTGATCTCGGCCGGGCTGATCGACATGTTCTTCAGGTCGACGTCGAACATGTACAGGCCCGTGTTGCCGATGCCGGCCAGGCCGCCGACGAGCAGGGCGATCAAGCTGGCTGCCGTCAGGGCGATGGGCAGAGCCACGCAGAAGAAGCGTCCGACGTTGCCCATTGTGGTGGTTGTATGATGTGGTGGTGGTGGTGGTGGTGTTTGCTTGTTTGTTGTGTGCGGTGGTGTGGCGAGGTGATCCTATTCGGGTCTTGTAGTTTTCTCTTGTCTACTGGTTTCAGGGTCTCGTTTACAGCAGGACACAGGACAGGGGTCGCAGAAGCCCAGTGACGTAAAAAGCGACCGGGTGGTGGTGGTGGTGATGTAGCCAGGAAGCCCGCTCGGTGAAACGAATGGGAAAAGCTCCTGACGAGTGATGGTAGAAAGAAGAAGCTCCCACAAAAGCGAATGGATATGGGAAACCTTTTTCTATCGAAGAGCGAGACGAGAGCGAGAGGGAGGAGATAATACAGGAAAAATGAGAGTGGAAGAGAGGGCTGGGTGCGCAGAGGGATAAATACAAGTACACAGTAGGTATCCCGGTGCAGGAGAGGGATCGCCAGCCCGCAGCAACACCAGTGTGGCACCTTGTGTGGTAAGCAGGTTCAGCTGCATCGCCCTAGCGGATTGGCCTACTCCGTTAGCACTAAGGTACTCTGTAAGGTAGGCTGGAGGAGGGAGCCCGGTCCGTCGCAGTGGGGTCCACCCGCAACGCGCAGGACGCAAGAGCACACACCACGCCAAAAAGAAGGGCCCTGTGAACGTGGGGAGGCGCAGTCGCTCAGTGAACGTGGTCGAGGTGCTACTCCGTAAGCGGGTGCCAAGCTCCCCGGACAACGGCCACAGGATGGCGGCGTGTGGCTAGCACTGTCCTCGGACCTTGCTCAGCCCCCTCTCCTGCTCCCTGGTCTCAGGGGGGTGTGCTGTCTTTCACGGTGCGAGAGCGAGCCTGACCTGTCCGCAAGGTCGAGTCGTTATTTTACTCTGCACATCTCGGCCCGCACACACTCCCTTCGAAAAAAGCTCACCTCCTGAAACAGCCGGCATGCCCAGAGGAGGCGAGCTTATTCGGAATTCTCGATCTCGTCTCTGACCAGGGTTCGCCATTATGACAGGATAAGCTACCTTACATGCTACCATACTTACAAGTACATGCCTATGCCCCAGTAAGCATATTCGCGTCCAACCGGCATTCTCCAGATCACAAGCGCAATGCCATCAGTCTTTTGACTCTTCTCACACAGCAAGCAGCAGTAGCCTATTGTTGATTTGCACAGTATCGTATGCAGATGGAAACCCAGTCCTGTGGCAACAGCATTGACTAATATACTTGTGCATCCCCGGCTGTTGCATAGGGAAAAACCCAGGCTCGGGACAGGTGATTTGCGCCCAATGAGGTCACAGCGCAACCCTGCAGGCCACAATGCTTGCTGGGCCAACACGAGCTCTTGGGGGGGGTTTTGTCGCCGCCGCCATGGCAACATCTACTTGTCCAAGTACTACCTGGATATCAGCTTCAAAAAGGTCATGAAAGTGTATCACTGGTCGTCTTGTTCCTGGCACTGTGATAGTCACCGAACGTGCATCTCGCAAAAAGAGAACTCGACTCGAATTTGCCGCTTCTCTATTGCGTAAGACTGCTTGGCTTTGCTTGCTTGGCTTGGTGGGAAACGCGCAAGCCCACCTGCAGTTGATCGCCGCGCCCAATTGACACGCGTGGCCACACAAGACTTCCACGCACCCTTTCGTGCCTTTCTACAAAGTAAGATCTGAGATCACAGGTAGACAACCCATCGGCGGTCATACCGCGATATGTAGGTATGTAGATGACCGGTTTCGATGTTATTTTTCTCCCGATCTACCCTCAAAGCAGACACAGTTCGCACACCCAGGGAGCCAGCCAAGCCAGCACTCAAAGGAACTTCTAATTTCCCCTTTCAGTAGAATTGATATCACGACTTTACCACCACCTACCTAGCTCTCCAGGGCCATTTACATAAAAGTCTGCCTCGCCTGAGCCCCTACCTACTTGATCCCAATGCCTGTCGTCGTAGTGCACCTTTTTGCAAGCCCACATCTCGCTATCCTCCTCTATCGGCCGCCGCCTCTACGTGAAATCCTCACTTCGCCCGTACCAAGACCGAAGGAAGGGTAAAAAGGAGTGGGGCCCGTGCCAGCAGTCTCGCGCTTCGCCCCCCTAAATTTAGCAACAACCAACGGCCTAACGAGGTACGAAAGTACTTCCATTCGTACACGCAAACCACCTCCGCCACCACCACCTCAGCACCACCAAGGCCTCGAGTCTGGGACATCCCGGTCTCCAGTTCTTTTTTCCTTCGCAAGGGTTTGATCTGTGACTTTACAATATGTCGGTAGTTAGATCTCTGAGCTCCACGCATCGTTGTGGCTTTTCTCCTCCACCTCCAGGCAACAGTTTTAACGTTTAGACAGCACCCCCGGCTTTTGTTTCGGTGGGCTTGGGTTGTCAAGCTGGACCTCCTAGGGCTTCGAACTGTCGTGATGTTTCCAAGGTTTCGGGATCCTGATTTGATCATGGAGATGTACATGCATGCCACGAAGCAGAGGGGACCACGACCAAGGCCACAAGCAACCCCATCTTTCAACTCCCATCCTCATGACGATCCCTCCCCCTTTTCGAGGCGCGGACATGCCCAAGATGCCGTTCAGTATCAATCTCGAAGCGCACAAACTATCGCGGCAAAAGGCTCGTTCGTTCGTGCATCCGCTGCAGATCTCCTCCCCATGCGGCTCTGCCATGACTACTACTTGCCCCCCCCCCCCCCCCTCCCTCTCCTTCCCCCC